TGCGTACGTGTGTATGTATGTATGTATGTATGTATGTGTATAAACCGTATGTATATGTATGTAATGTATGTATGTACGTATGTATGTATGTATGCATGTATGTATGTGAGTATATCTATGTTTGGTTTGATGTGAAAAAATGTTCATATAGAGATAAAAAGAGAGACATGTACACACACACACACATTCACCTCTCTGTGTGTGTGTGTCCATATGTACATATATGTATGTGCACGCCTGCGTGTGTACATACACATATGTGCTTCTGCCCCACAGTACAAGAACCCTACTACCGGCTCCTTATGTCTCTCTGCCGGGCGGTGAAGGTTCGTCGCATAGGCGGCACAGAACCCGGGAAGTTTGGCGAGCCTGATGCGGGGCAGGTATCGCAACTCATAGTATTGGGTTACTGGCCTGCGTTTGAGGCCGAAATCGTCTTTTTTGTACGAAGTGGTTATTACTGCAATAAAATGTCTGTTCATTGTGGCCAAATGTCAAAACCATTGCCAACCTTAGCTTCATTACCAAATCATGGCATCTGCAACATGAGCCGGCTTGCTTTTTGCTGCGAAGCTCCTAGGCCAACAGTATCTCTTTATACAATCTGAAGCAGGAGCCTATCTCGAATCATCTGTCCAAGACAGGAAGCCTCGAGAAGGTTCTGTGCAGCAAACACGAACGATTCCAAGCACCCCTGGTTTGGGGTACGGCGGGTCGCGGGTTTAGGCCTGTGTGGTTTAGGATTTGGTGGTGTCCGGCATTGTGCATAATATAAAGGCCTTGACGATCAAAATAGGGCTTGGTGGCATATTATACATAACTACTTGGAGGGGCAGGGGACTTAGTAAGTCGTTTATAAGTAGGGTTATAATTGAGGTAACTCCATTTAGGGCACTTATAACTCTACTTACCAAGTCCCCTGCCCCTCCAAGTTATTCAGGCCCCTACATTACAATCGGTTGTTCATTGCAGACGGGTGCTTGGACTGCTTGTCAACCTAACCAGCCAGCAGGCAGCCGTGAAGAGGATGTGATGCGGTTTAAGAGCCACGGTTTAGGGTTTAAGGACTAGGGGATTTTTTGTTCCTGGGGTAGATTATAGTGCATGTATTCAGGGATGGGATACTCACTACTAACTAGTGTTCTGATCTCCGCAACACGAATAGTTGCAACCCCGACATCTGCAAACCCTATACCTACAAGCACTCGAGTACTAAGCAGCCTTGACGAAGGGCCTGAGGACGACATTTAGGGTTTAGGGTTTAGGGTTTAGGGTAGTTTGCAGGCAAGTTTGGAGCAACATGTTTGGGGTGTTCGCATACACCATGTATGTAAACAGGTAACTAAGTGTAGATAAATAAAGTAAAACAGCATACGTATATGTACGTCTATGTGAGTATGCATTCTTGTATGACGGTATATATTTGTATACGTACATGATTGCATACATACATGCAAACTTACATAAATACATACACACTATATTTTAATTAAGACATACTGAGTTGGAGCGCTGCGACAGTGCGAACATGCTCCCCTTACTGGCAATACGGGCCTATGTGGCTTGAGGCATCAGTCGTCCTGGGCTTTTGCGTTAGGCGTAATTTCGGCGCAATGCTGCGCGGTTAGTGGTTTGGGGCGACAACACTACTTCAAATCAAGCATAGTAGCTGCCTGCGGTGGATATGCACGTGCATGCGCAGGTCGTTGTGGCTCTTGCAGCACACCGTGCGGACAAAGTACCAGCAAGCGAATTCACTGTTTGGGCGGTTCTCCACTTCAACCTGTCAGTAATCTTGCGGGTACCATCTTAAGAAAAAAAGACAGGACTCAGGATCTATCCATAGAACTTATACACTACGTGGATCCTCTGTGGATCTGTGCTGACAAGCAGCACCTACACCTAGCCGGCCCTGCATAGCTGAGCGTGGAAGACGACTTCCGGGTCTAAGTCCTCGGTATTTCCCCGAGAAAGACGCCTGAACACTCAGTGGTAACATCCCCTCATAGGCACAAGACGTCCTTAACGGGCTGGGTGTACATACCAACACATGTTTTCAACACAGGGGCCTGAAGAAGCAAAACTAACCTGTATCCCCAAACCCTACAAAATAGTAAGTTATGACCCCTTAATTAGAGGCTCTAACCCTTAAAACGGTAGATTTTTGGATCCACAGGAAGACCTAGGCTGTGGTTTAGGGTTTAGGGCCTTAGGCGGCTTAACAGTCTTGGGAGAGTATAACGGTTGATGTTATAAATCCTGCATTATCATAAGGACCCTGAACTATGGGAGTTATGGTATATTCCTTATTATGGGTAATGCAGGATTTATACCAAGGGATTAGGGTGTAGTATAGAAAAACTGTAGCTGTATTCGGAATATATCCGAACATCATTGGAATGATCAAGTTCGAACTCTACGGTTAGCAGCTCTTCAAGTGAATGGGACATGAGGCATGCCAGGATCCTGACCTGCCTCACTGCAGGGCTGATCTTAAGTCTTAAGACCCTCCCAAAACCCTAAACCCTAAACCCTAAACCCAAAACTTAAGTTCCAGTACGTGCAGGTTCAGCCTTTAGGTTTCAGGGTGACCCTTAACCCAAAATATTCTGACAACGAGTCAGCTTGTGGAAGTTCCGGCCGTCATCCGGCGTCATGATGCGTTTGTCTCGGAGATTCCCAAAGCCTCGTCACTACAGAAGATAGCTTTGAATCATATTGAGGTTGCCTTCAGGTTCCCCTTAGAACCTCAAGTTTATTCCGTACAGGCAAGATGTTTGAGTCTCTGAGAAGCTCATGACATCAGGAAACCTGCTAGGCCTTGGCGCCTTGCGCCCATACCCCTACTTAAAGGATCATGGGACTTAGTAATTGGGGTTGTAAGTAAGGTAACTACAGTTAAAATTACTTATAACCCTTATAACGCCAGTTAAGGTACTTATAACCCCACTTACTAGTTCCCATGATCCTCCAAGTACACATATGACATATGCAGCTTTCTCAAATTGGGCATCGCGGCTTTTATCGAAACCTAAACCTAAAATCCCATCCCGTCTGAGAGCGGAGAAGCGTGCCAGGGTGCCGAACTCAAACCTTCGGCGAGTTCTTCAAAACTTGAAACGAAACCGGGAGCTAAACTCTAACCCCTAAACCCCAAACCCTACCCTGAACCCTAAAGTCTTGGGGTTTGCCTGCGTTTAATATGTTTCCAGGGCCCTGCTGTGCGCTCCGCAGCAGTGGGCCTAGGGTTTCAGACTTTGGGTTTGAGGCCAAGGTGGAAACTGGAGCCCTAGTTAGGGGTTTAGGGATTTAGGGTTTAGGGTTTAAGGGTTTAGGGTTTAGAGTTTACGGGGTTTAGGGTTGAGGGGTTTAGAGTTTAGGGTTTGCCGTAGAGTGGCGCATAAGCGGAAGTATCCTTACGACAGTGTGATTTCGAGTGCGTCGTCATGTGACGATTGGCCGTTGGAGCGTGATCTAGACTCAAGAATAACCTAGGAATAAAAAGGGTGCCCTTTTTGGTTTAAAGGGGTTTTAAGGGGAACCTGAACCCTGAAAAAATGGAATAAGGGCCTACTCTAGGTCCTAGGGATTTTGGATGGCTCTTTCTTTTAACTCTCCCTCCCGACGCCGTCTCAGGCGGCCAAATCACCCGAACCCATCCATTAGGGTTCAGCACCTAAACTCATTCCAAGCAGCAGCCGGGGGGGGGCAGGGCCGGGGTCCTTGAATTCTGCTCGCTGGAGGCCTCCCAAATGACGATTCAGGCCAATGGTTTAAAGGGAACTCCAGAAAGTTGGGTTTAGGGTTTAGGGTTTAGGGCTTAGGGTTTAGGGTTTAGGGTTTAGGGTTTAGGGATTACAGGGAACTCCAGAAAGTTGGAATATGGTTTCAGGGTAGGATACCCTATAATTTACCATAAAGGGTTTAGGATAATCATATTCCAACTTTCTGGCTTTTACTGTAGGGTAATCGCTTTGTTAAGGGACCAATACCGGTCCCGAGGAGAACGTGTTCCGGCACCGGGCCTATCGTGGGTGCTACCGTCCCCATGGCTGTGGAGAGGTGGGCAAGCGCTTTGGGTCACTCTGCGCCATCGAGGTCGAGAGGCTTAAGCGCCGCCCACCCACGCAGGTGGGCTGCTTAAGCCTTGAGTTTAGGGTTTAGGGGTTTAGGGTTTAGGGTTAAGGGGTTTAGGGTTTAGGGGTTTAGGGGTTTAGGGGTTTCGGGTTTAGGGCTGTTTTCCGGGTTGCGATGGATTGATCCTGCAGCAAAAGCTCCCAGCTCCTCGCTCTTTGGCGTTGTCTGTCATGTCTGTACTCCCTCGGAGGTATTCAAAAATATGTCGCGGCTGATCCGTGTTATTGCATAATGGGCCCTGCCTAAGTCTTGTCTATTTGTCGACCCTTCGTAACATCAACGATAACAGCCTGTGAACCGCAAACCCTAAACCCCTAAACCCTAACCTTTCTCAGCGCCTTCGGACTTTGCAAGGCCGACTTTTTCCTTGCTAACCCTAAACCCTAAACCCTAAACCCTAAACCCTAAATACTACCCGCAATTTCCCAACTACCATAGGGTTCCTTTACAGGTTCCCCTCCTTTACAGGTTCCCCTTAAAAGGGGATCCACAAAAGGATACTATAAGGGCTCTATAATGTGGGGGCCTTATGCAGGGGCCTTAATAAATAGACTAGGCGTTTGGGCGTACATCATACCATAACTATAATAATAAGGAGCCCCACATAGTATAGGTAATTATGAAGGCCCCTATAGTACTGTGATCCTAAACCCTAGAGTCCTAAGCCCAACTACAAGTACCTGGCTGGAGATGGCAAGGCTGAATAGCTGCGAGATCTTCCATGGCATCAGTTCAGCGAATTCATAAATATGTGTATATATACATAGTTATACATATTTATACATATGTGTTCATGATAAAATATGAAATAAAATAATCTACTAGAAAAATACATAGATATAGAGATTGTACATGTATGTTTATCAGATCAGCCGCCGAGACTTAAAGGTCAGTAGCGTGCAGAGCAGCGTCGCGGCAAACCATGCCAGGGCAGCACAAACGCTGCAGGCTCTCACAGTCCGTGATATCCAGGCTGCACAGTAGAAGAGAGCGATGAGAGGCACGTAGAGCATCCTGGGTTCGTGGTTGCACAACCGACATGCTCTGTTTATGCACGATACTCTCAGTGGTTGTCCTCGGTACGAACGGGGTCAACACCCGAAGGTTTACGGCTTGCTGATAGGAATTTGGGCCCAAGGGCTAGGACAAGCTTCAGCATCGCACGGCTGCCAAGTAATCTGAGGAATCGCATCGCTATGACAGCTATGAAAGCAGAAAGAGCCAGCCCAGGCTGTCAACGCCTGCAGGCAGCACCCGAATCGATACACTTCTCAGACGCTGAAGTCGCCAAGGAGCCACAAACCCTGGCTGATTCCAGCATCCCACCTTCGCCTCCAGCAAAACCAGAACCCTAAACCTAGGAACGACAAGATTTCTGAGCTTTAATATACCATGCCCTTCGAACCCCTTGAGCGAAGCGGCAGGGTCTGGCCCAAGTCGCGGAGACCCGACCACCTGGGTTCGGCGAACCTCCCGAGAAAATGGGTCTCCAGGATTCAAGGGGGATTCCTAAGATTCGGGTGCGACCTGCGACCTTTGATGCTGTGTGGTTTCAACCAGGATCCAGGGTTCGGGGACGAGGGGCTGCAAACCTTGGCTTACTCAAAAATTATGAACAACACAACATGTCGTTATATAATATAATACAGTATGTTTCGACAAATCGAATAATGTACTAAGTACTATATTATATAGACTATAGTTTTAAAAAATCACAGCCCTGAAGCCAGGACCCTAGCACGCTAAAAGCCCTACACCAAGCAGCCGAGATCTTCAAAATAAGTACTCTGGGGACCCTACGTGAGGCCTGTTTCTGGTATGTAGCCCCTTGCATGGCCTGACTTGCGGGCTGTGGATCATTTCGCTTTGCCGAGCGAGTTGTACGCCCTGCGGTTATGGTCCCGTTTGGGGATTCCCCATAGATCCCACTGTTCAGAGTCGACAGAGATGGCAAAAGAAATCCAGAAGCCTGATGTAAACGGTCCTCGTTAGTCCTCATTGCTTTCTTCGATGTCTGCACAAGGCTTGTTGCTTGTTCTACGGAGAGGCTCCATCGGCACATGTCGCCAGCCCTTACAGCGCGGTACAGCCACTGAACTTGCAAATCTGACAAAAGCTCCGAAGACAGACGACGGCTTTGCGGTAGGTTGTGTTTGCAAAGCCTGCAACTCCGAGGCATGAAGGTGGCTTCATGGGATTTCTTAACGCCTAGCCCTCAACTCTATATACGGTAGTTTCCCAAAATAGGGAGACCCCAAATCTAGCACCCCAAATAGTAAGATCCTTATTATAGGGAACCCAAAATAATGTACCCCTAACTGCCCTAATTTTCGGAAACTCCCATATAAACCTCAAAGCCCAAACCCCAAACGACACAGAGACGAAGCTTGAAAGGCCCACACACCTTGCAGACTAATATAGTTATACGGGCCTTAATAATTAGAGCAGGGTTTCTTCAAAGGGGGTGCATAAGGGCTACTATAAAGGATCTAAAGGGGTACTACAATAAAGTGGCCTTAATAACTAGAATAGGGTTTGGGGGGCCATTATACGAAAATTACAATAATGAAGCCCCTATAGTAACTATAGTACCCTGAAGACACTCAGTTTCCTGCCCTGGTTGTCTGGCATGCCAGCCTGTCGCACAGGTAGAGGACGAGGGCAATGAAGAACAGCAAAAAACACCTCGGCAGAGACGAACCAACAAGCATAAACCCCGTATATGGGAGTTTCCGACAACTGCGGGTACCTTTTTTTCGGGTCCTTGTATACGGATCGTGCCATATAGGATACTATATTAGGGTCCCATATCTTCGGAAACCCCGTATATAGAACCTGTCGCACAACCCTTGCAAAGTCTTGCAATAGCCTTTTAGACAGACCAACGAACTCTCAACACCTCAGAAGCTGTGAAGGAAGAGATCTGAAGGATGTCATGACGGTTGTCTAGTGCGTCATAAGGAGTTTTAAACGTACAGTAAAGAAGAGGCAGTCATGCTGACAATATGAATCGGGGCAAATCGGGCAATCCTGCTTGGCAGGTGCCCACGACTGCCGCGCGACTGCCAGGAATGCGGCTATGAATATTGCCGTCGCTTTCTACCTGGTCCCCATTGGTGCCCCTGTGAAGGGAGGCACTTCCGGTAATGTTGACATGCTGCAAACACTGGCAGGGGCGATACATTCGGAGTCCAGGGACTTCCAAGGCTAAAAAAGAGGCTTATGTCAACCTGCAAGAAGTTTGGCACAAGGCTTGTCTTTGACTGAGCTACACCCCGCGACGCAGAAACTGCTTTAAAGCAACTTCGCTGAGCACTGTGGGCCCTTGTATTTAGAGAAGTACATATAGATCTAGGTTATATACAAGCATGCAGACTTGGGAAACATGGATCGCAACATAAGAATTCTAGTCAATATTCTAAGACATCATTCAGAGTAAGATGTTAGAAGTGGAAGCCGAACAACTACGCAGCTGCTACTGGCAAAGTAATCTCAGTATCGAATGCCTATTCGGTTTGGCACAAAAGCTGCTACACAAAACTTTGATTTGAGAAGTAACAGCAGAAGCAACACTGCGACATGAACGTTATTAGCCCCGCCCCTCCCGCAAACCTCCTCCTCCCTCACCCCCGAACCAGAAAAGCCGCAGCAAAACCTCGGAAGCAGAAAAGCAGCACCTTGCGATCCCATCCTGAAAACCTGAAGTTATGGGTCAGGCTCCAACTACCTGCCACAACGACGGCGACCAACAACTGACAGGGTTTAGGGGTTTGGGGTTTAGGGTTTAGGGGTTTAGGCCACCAACATTCCCTAAGACTCCAAGTATACAAATACTACCTACTTTGGGGTCTAAAGTCTATAAATACTACCTACTTTGGGCTATTTGGAGTCTTAGGGATTAGGCGAGGCTCACAAAGTAACTACAGTTATAATTACTTATACCCCAAATCAGGGTACTTATAACCCTACTTACTCAGTCCCATGATCCTCCAAGTAGACCCCAAACCCTAAACCCTTATATTACCCCTATAGATCCCTTAAAGCGATCCTTAACCCTTACTTACTAAGTCCCATGATCCTCCAAGTAAGCGAGGCTCACATTGAAGGCGAGGAAGGAGCCAAAGACATAAGCAGCAATACAGCGGACGTGCGCTCCCCCAGCACACCTGAGGTAAACCAAACAAAAAAACACCCTAACACTGACATATACATATGTACATATATATATGTATATGTATGTATGTATGTATATAGGGGGCCTTAAGAATTACCTATATTATTACCTATTTATATTATTTTGGGGGCTCCTTATTTAAGTTATGGTATAATATGCCCCAAATATTGCGGCCCTAACCCTAACACCCTAAACCCTGATAGGGCAAACGGCTTAAAGTCTTAGAGTTCAGGGTCGCGTGATAAAGTTCGCTTCAATGCTCATGTAGCTACTGATGATACAAGTAGGGTTAAGAAGTGATTAAGGTAGTGGCCGCAATCGTTAGAATAGGAAGTGGGAACATCATCGCATAAATTTTTGCCCCAATATACCGTTTCGACTCATCCGTTGGTTTAACTTAACGGCAGGGGGGCTTTGCCCCTACGAAACCCTAAAGGCCCAAGTCCTCAGCCCTGGTTTCTGATTTTGCTCTGACACCTCCCTAGTTCCTATTTTTAGGGTTTAGGGTTTAGGGTTTAGGGTCCTAAACCAATCCCAACTTCCAGGCTCAACAACGGCTGAACAAACTGGATGGTATGGCCTTTCTTTTGAGTCCCAAAACCTGAAATCATGAAACCTCACGGCTTTGGGGCAAACCTCAAGTATTCTTCCGTACTGCCGCTCAGGCGCAGGGAGGCGAGGAGAGTCAGACCGGAAGCAAGTGTGGGTGTAAGAAGGACCTGCGAGTAAGCCTGAGACTGAGGGGTTAGTATTCAGAGCGAGGCGACAGGTTGTATGCTTTTGATTTTGCCGGGATGCCATAGAGGTTTTACCGTGTTGTGGTTTACCGGGGGTTGAAGTTCTTACAGGGATGCGTTGCCAGCATATGTGGCGTTGAGGTTGAAGTGGTGTGCTGTTTTTTGAATCTTAGGGTTCTGGCTCTTTTAGGTTATACCGCAGACTTTGATACAGGCTAGCATAACAACAAATAACATAGTATCATGTAGTGTAATACGACAAAGCATATATGCGTTTCGCAGTAGAATACTGTATTTGATTGCACTGTTTTAAATTAAACTATGCTGCAGTGGGCTAGATATGGTAGAATCCGATATAGTATGTTGAGTTGCCTTGAAAAGTCATAAAACACTGCACGTAGCTCTGCTACAGTCTATTATGCGATACTTTATGTTATAGTGTTTTTTTTTTGCATGGCTGTGTGACCATTTTATACTACATTGCACTATATATCATACTACTGCAAAATATTAAATTACATTACATTCTAAGGTGTTCTGTCATTGTGCGGTGTTGTAAGATGCCCGACTGAACCAGAGTCCTGTCTAGGATAATGCAATATGTACCGTGTTATGTCATGTTCTGCTTCAGAACTAGGCCATACAACACGCTGCTTTAACTACATTGAACTCATTTCGATGTATTGTCTTTCTTATGTGGCATAATCATATGTTCTACTATGATGTACTTTGTGGCAGTATAATGATAAAACACATTATGTTTCCGGATTAGTATGCACTATGTTATACGATACTACGTTAATTTATTCAATTGTACCGCTTCGTCTTTGTATTGCTCGATATTATAATGTAGCACGGGGTACCAGCTAATGTTACATCACTACACACACACACACAGACACACACACAGACACACACACACACACACACACACACATGCGCTGCTCGCTGTAAACGAACAATATGCCCACTTGGCGAGGATGTTACGAGACTTGGGCTCAGGGGCTGGCAACTACGGCCAAGGGCTTAGTTGGGAAAACTTACAGGGTCATGGGGCTTAGTAACTAGGCTTATACGCCAGGTGAAAAGTCCTTATAGCCCCAGCCAGAGCAACATAAAAAAATCAACTCTACTTGCGAAGTCGGGCTTTAGGGTTCACGGTAGTGGTTGGGGTTGCAGCGTTTGGTCTTGCAGGGGTACAGGGTCTTTCGATTGTGAATGAAGCTTGACGGTGCTTCTGTGAATGGTCATGAACTACCATCAGTGTTGTGCGCTCCCATCTATGTCACCTATCTTCTCCATCTACCTGATATACCTTGCATTTCCGAAGAGATCTCATGAACAACAAGCCTCAGCCGGGCTGTTCTTTGAGGCCCCTTCTTAGGCTTTATGATTAAACTTTTGCTTCAAGTTCTCTATTCGGAATAGACCATGCTAAAGTTGCAAACCATTTTCAATACTGGCCTAGTCAAACCCCGGGACATCTCACACGCGAGCCTATCCTGACCCGGTTGCTTCATGCGCAGAAAGATGTCCTTGCAGAACATAGTGGACTACGTCCTGCAAAGAGCTCGACATAGCTCGAAACCTGGCGAAACCCTAAACCCTAAACCCTCAGCCAAATCCGTAACTGACACCTGGGAACCCTTGAGGGAAGCCTGAAAGGAGGCCAAAAGGAGGGTGTAAGACTTATGGGGTAGGGATTCCTTAATACGAACCCTATTATGGGCAGCCTAATCCCTACTAAACCCCCATAGGCTAAAACACCTTTTGGCCTCCTATGACTCGAGAAACTGTCCGAAGTTTATCCCGGCGGCCACATAGTTACTGGAGGTCGCCGTTTCAAGCAGCTCAGCTCGAAGCGGGCCTGCACATGAACTCTTGTTCCGATGCATCCAAGTACCTCATATTTTGGGCCCTAGACCCCTTCAGGACCCAACAAGAAGCTGGAGGCACAGCCTTATGGATTTTGTGTTTTGATTTCAAGGTCGCACGCTTTAGGGGCTCAATGTCTCAGAAGTTTTGACCCTCATGAGACGTAAATTGTGTTTTGGCTTCGGGCTTCGATATAAAGGGCTTCCTAAACCCTAAACCCTAAACCTTAAACCCTAAACCCCATAAAACCGTGGCTTCCTGTTCATTGAGCCGAGGTTGTTGTTTCATGTGTTGCTGTCGGCTTTAAGGCCTCAGCAGTCCCCAGAGACTCCAATATACCTTAATTAAGGAATATACCTAGGGTTCCTTTAAGGGATCCTTTGTCTCCAAGACCCCTTAACTAAGGAATATAGCTTAACTCATAATCTGAGGCCCTCTATAATTTAGTCCATCTTCCTTAGTTAATAGGAATATAGCTTAAATCATAATATGAAGCCCTGTATAATTTAGGCCATCTTCTTTAATTAAGGGGTATAGCTTAAATCATAATATGAAGCCCTATATAATTTAGGCCATCTTCCTTAAGGAATATAGCTTAAATCAGAATATGAAGCCCTATATAATTTAGGCCATCTTCCTTAGTTAAGGGGTATGGGGCTCTCTGGGAGTGTTATTGGCTTTGGCCTTGCAGTACTGCTGGACAGGAAAATGAAAAACTCTGGGTTTAGGGTTTAGGGTTTAGGGTTTAGGGTTTAGGGTTTAGGGTTTAGGGTACATTTTCGAGCGCTGCAGTTGCGACGGTCACTTTCAACATTCTGTCCCAAACCGCAAACAACTCCATGCAACACCCAGCAAACTTAAAGCCCAGTATAAATACGCCCGCAGCCCCTTCGCATACCCCCAGATCTCAAAGCATCTACGTTCATGTGGGATCAAGAGAAAAGGTTCCGTCTTCGACTCCGCCCTGGGTAAGTGTTAAGGGCTAAGGGATCTAATTCAAGTTAATTACTGTAACAAGAAAGCCATACTAGGCACAATAGATACCTATTATGGTAACGTAAATGCAATTCCTTGACAAGAACCCAGAGAGGGACCCTGTCTGCTCAAAGATCATGCTGAGAGGGCGACGGCTGCTCGCGTCGTTCACGCTGTGGTTGATGTCTTCACAAAACGCTGGGCTTTGAAGGTCAACTGGACCTAACAACTATGGAGCATACTACGTCATATACTGTAATACATCCTTTACCTGGGATATGAACTATCAGCCCTCGCCCCTTGTAGGTTTCATGTGCTCTCAAAGCCGGCAAAACCCCAAACCCGTAAAAACCCTTAACCTTACCTCAACATCCTAAAGCCCCCAAAGCCAAAACATCCAAGCCCCAAATCCCCAAATCCCCCGACCACCTACTCAAAACCCCAAAAGAGCCCGAAGACAGTGGAAGACCGGCGTCCTACCTCGAACAAACGCAGTGAACGCCTCCTTGCTTCCATACCTTCAGACCGTGCGGGCTTTCAGGGTTTAGGGTTTCGGGGTTTAGGGGTTGTGCTATCGGGGTTGAACGTTTAGGAACTGAGGGTTCGGAGTTCTCAGTGTGGGCGCTACCACCTTCTGCGACTTCAGGGTCCCTGACTCACCTCAAACGGAGTCTAGCTGCCATTCCTCGATGGCTCCATAGATGAACTCCTTGTCGAAGTCGTTGCTGCACTGCACCTTGCAGAGGTCGAAATGCTCCAAGTCGGAGATGAGCTTGTGCTTGGACATGAATGTCTTGCCTGAGCTCCAAGTAGAGTTTAACACTGCAGCCAGATGTCCATATGCAAGTCTAATTAGCAGAGTACATGTGGCAAGCGTTTAGGCTCGTTGCACATCCATTGGCACATCACTTCCTCCACGAACAACTTTATAATCCGGGTTCTTCAAGTTGAAAGCCATCTATGTAAAGGCATGATGGCGACGGCTGAGCATATACTGCTCAAGATGTACGGTTCCACACTCCATGCACGGTATGCCAACTTGTGCCAGCCTTGGATTCCGAATGGTCCCGAAGTGGGCCTTACGGTAAGTCTTACGGAATTTAAGTGCCTGCTCAAGGTTCGCTTGTTCGCCCCTGAAATCCTGTGAGAACTGACTACCCCAATGCGGATCGCAGTGCGCCAAGGCTAGGGCTGGGGAGTACCACCAGATGCCTTTCCAATTTACTACTGTTGCTGCTGCTGCTGCTGTTGCTTCTGCTGCTGCTGCTACTGCTCCTCCTTCTGCCGCGGCTGCTGTTGTCGCTACCGCTGCCACCGCCGCCCCTATCGCTCCGGCTACTGCTGCTACCACTGCAAAAACAACTATACCGAACACGTCGATTACTACTAAGATGACTCTTCCTGCTAAGACTACTATTGTCATAAATCTTGCTGTGCTCTGGTGCATGGTGCTGCTCTTCCCACTTGTCGACAGCTACACAGCCATACTGGAAGATAAGTATACACATCTGTCTTCAGTCTGTGGTTGCATCATAGACGATACCACCACACCCATCGTCAGTGTTAGCAACTTCGTACTGCTGCTCTTTGGAATCTGCGAGACATTGCAGTGCATGCTGACCCAGTGAACGGATGAAGCGTTCGGGCTTGAAAACCCTAAACCCCTGCATACATCCCAAACACGAAGCTCTAAACCCTAAACACGACACTGACCGCTGAACCTGCACGTTAGGCCCTGTCTAAGTTCTCACTTCCTTCGGAACCTACATAACTGAACTCGTAAGTGCATCGATCAGGGGAGTAGATCCAGCTGCTACCACAAGGGACTATGTAGTGCCGGTGTATCCGGGCCTGTGGCACTAGAACAGGAGCTCTTCCCAACGAAGGCCAGGCGACGAAGGAAATGCATAGCCACAAAGCCTGGGTATGCTAAGGTCTGGCACGCAAGGTTGGGGGCACGGGGTTCAAGGCTTACCGCAACTGCCTATACAGGAAACACAACATCCTCACTGCCTGAAGGTAAGCCTAATCGAACGCCTGCCCCAACCCATGTCATCTTCCAGCCTTTTTGGAGTTCATTATAATCTGGGTTGTAGTTTTAGGGCGCTTAAACGTATACGTATATATATATATATATATATATATAGATATATATATATATATGAATGGGTACGTCTGTAAGAAGCATAAGGCAACTCTCAATTTTCCCAACGTCCCGCCTGGTAGTGGAGTGCGGGGGTTCAGAGTCTAGGGTTCGAAGGTTCTAGCTTAGGAATCATGTTTCGAGGTCCCCTCTTTGGTTTCTGTCAAAGCCACGGTCGTCGATGCACACAGTAATTATTGTGGTTGGGCACTGCCCCCCATTTCAGAAACAGTCTATAATAAGGTGACTACTGAGTTATTAATGGGCATATATATATATATATGTATTTATTTATATTTATACATGTGTATATATATATACACACACACGCAATATAAAATGCTATACTCTAAAAATTATGATATAAGAAGATACAGCGTGTGTATATGCATATGATACATACTACAATTATCATAGACAGCCCTACCTATTTAACGAATGGTCACTTCCAGGGGCGTCCCAACCTCAACAATAATCCTTCATGGAAATAATAACAATAGTAGTAACAATGGTTTGCTACGGTAGCATAAACAAATCCTATACTAGCCTCATGAAAAATGTTAGGCTTGTCAAATCGCTCACCAGACATTCATTCAAGGCCGGGCAGGGTTCTCAGTGGCTTGTCCAGGGAGACGCTAGGGCTTAGGTTACTTAGGGTTCAGGGTAGCATTCACAAAAATCGGACCGCAACATACAAGGGAACACTCACAGCGCATAGCTTGCGAGTGCCTGAATGTTGCTTTCAGAATTCCTGAGTAGGAGCCCTACCTAGATGAGTATGACACACTCGCTTCCTACCGCGAAAGTCTCAACAGTCAGCCTTCCATTCACCCAAACCTAGACCCAACACTCGCCCCCGAGCCCCACCAGCTTGCGAAACACTCGCCCCAAACAGACAGCAATCGAACAACTCTCAGGAGTACCTGCATTTGGCCAAGGAGCAGGGTAGCAAAGCCGTGATAAGAGCGGCGCCCTCGCTAGTGAACTCCCTGAAGAACATGCGTGCCATCCACCACACGCAGGCTACCTGGCAAGATGTCTCTGTGGATTGGGCTGCCAAAGGAAACCAGAAGATAAAAGACCCAGAACCAACCGGAAACCCGAACCCTTAACCGAAAAAGAACCCCACATCCTTGAAGTTGAAAGCCTTTGCCTCCAAAAACCCCATAGAACCCTGAAGTACCCGAAGCGGCAAGTCACCCGTCAGGAAACTTCTCGAGTCAGCTACTCAAGGTAATATGGAACTTCGAATAGCCAAACTGCGGGGTTGGGGGATTCCTCTCCCTCTCCCTCTCTCCCTCTAACATATCTATATATGTATATATATATATATATACATGCATCTCTCTCTATATATATATATATATACATACCTCTCTCTCTCTCTCTCTCTCTGTCTCTCCGTCTCTCTGCATAGAACATACACCTTATGTCTGTCTCTTTGTCTCGCTCTCTCTCTCTCTCTCTCTCTCTCTCTCTCTCTCTCTCTCTCTCTCTCTCTCTCTCTCTCTCTCTCTCTCTCTCTCTCTCTCTCGCTCTGTCTCTGTGTGCATGCATGCATGCCTACATAAGTACATATATTATTTGTATTACATTACATTATGTTACCATACAGTATTTTCATGAATACAGACGTATGTACATACATACATACGTACATACATACATGCATGCATACATACATACTTACATACATACGTACAGATGTCTAACAACATTTAAGTGTGGCTGTTGCTCTGCTTACTACTAGATATCGGAAAATTGGTCTGACTCTTGAGTTCGACACCACAACAGTCCGGAACCGGTGGATGCCTGCACGTTTGCAATCCTTAGGCCTATGTGCATAGTGCTAGACCCCAAAGAACTCCGGCAGCCTAGTATGAATAGAGGTCTGAACCATTGCTGTGTAAAGTCTCTTGTGGTCCCTATGTAGTTTTTGCATTCTATGCACATCAAGCCGCATCCTGTTCTGGGTTGTATGGCCTGCATAATAACCTTGTCCTATGACAATCGTGACCTTCTTTCCGTTGGCCTTAACATGTCCTCGGCGTGCAACCAGAGTTGATTGTGTATACGAACTACCCGGTTTCACTTGGCTAGGCATGATTTACTCCGTCCACCCCGAGCTTCCAAGGACCTTATAGTTAGGGCCCTAGACCCCTGAAGGACCCTGTAATAACGTCCCTGGAGGCATTGGGAAAGGCAGCCGAGCAGCAGCGACATTCATGGCCTCAGGAGTTTGTTCGGAGGAGTTTCCGAGATTCAGTCGACGAAAGAATGGAAGATTGCAGTTTCCGGGCTTTATTAGGGTTGGTGTTTTGGGTTTAGGGTTTAGGGTACCTCCAATTAATGAGGTACTTATAACCCCACTTACTAAGTCCCATGATCCTCCACTAGTACGTGCGTGGGCCGCAGAGAGGCGAAGCGGGTCCAGGGATCAAATTTAGTGGCTAGCGCGGTTGAGACATTGGGCTGTTCGAGAAAACTGTGCTAATGTGAAGGTTCCCTACGGCAGTGCCGAATATGTCTAGTTGGATCGTGCTTGGAGAGCTGGCGTCCTAAATAAAACAGTGCTGGTTATGCAAGGTCTCCAAGTATTCCAAACATACCTACTGTGGGATTCGGGGTACAGAATCTCGCAAAAAAACAGTTGAAGTCGTTGTGCCTTATGCTATAGACCCTAAACCCTAAACCCTAGGACTCTCAGGGTAGTGATGGCACGGAGCAGGGTCGAACTACCTGCCTAGATGCAAGACTCAAGCGGCTTTTAGGGCACGGAGTGTTTGTGGCATGAGAGGGACTGGACTAATTGCGGTACAAACCCGTGTAATACCTACAGCACCGCGAAGAAACCTGCAAAGTAAACCTTGGAACCTTGACTTCTTAGGTTCGATGCCTGGGTTCGCTCAGCTGCATCTGCACTCTATATGTATTCTCATGAAACCCATGAGAACACTCGATGTGCCTTGAAACCGAAGTCGCAAGCAGCTCTCAACCATGCGAGCAAGCAACCACGCCGACGTAGACAATCACTTCTACAAACAGCGGGGCCAAGGTGATCTTGCCATCCGGATTTGCAGTTCGGTAGGCGGCCAGCTCGAAGACCTAAACACTGTAACAATGGGCGTAGGTTTCGGGTAGACAAAACTATACTTAAGACTTATACCGGGTCTACAAGGAGATGCTCTCGCTAATTCTTCCGACCCCTATGGGAAATCTGAGCGCTAAGGAACGCACACCGCAAACCTGGCTTACACTTCGCTGTGCAGGTTGGCGAAGTTGGGTTTGCCACACCTTGACCTACCAAAACCTACATTTTTGTAGGATCCCTATAACGTCCATAATATTACGGTTTACAATAAGAGCCTAGAACCTACAGAAATCTAGACTTTGCGAGGATCTAGGTACATTGCATACTTCGGACACAAAGGAGCCATATCACACGGCGCTCTAGGGCCGAAAACCTATGGACACGTCACACTCAAACACGGGAACACAAACAATCGAAACATTCTTCGAAGTGACCGAGTCCGTGAGCTTAGATGTGCTGAAGCATGAAACTACTGCTGTGGTGTAGGGTTTAGGGTTTAGGGTTTCGGGTTTAGGGTTTAGGGAAGTTTAGGGTTTAGGGTTTTTTGTAGGTTAATGACGACGTCGTCTGTGGTCCTTGACAGACTTTTTAACGCACCATGTGCAGCCTTGTTCTCAGCATGCCCCGAAAAGGGACCCAATCGGAACCCCCAAACCCCAAAACAATGAGTTCCCTTCGTTTGGACAGCGAAATCGTTTCGAGACCCAAGACCCTCAAGAGCAACAAACCCAAGCAAACACAAAGGTGCACAGACCTTCAGGCAACATCCACCCTAAACCCTTGAGGCAGTAGCCAGAGCACACAACCCCCCTCCCCTCCAACTCCCCACCTCCCTCCAGCTCCCTCAGCCGACTAAACGAGAAGCCCATGCGGGTAGTTGTCAAAATTAGGGGTACCTTGTTGGGTACCCTAAACATTAGGTGCCGTAAAATAATCTAGGTTGGCCCCTCAAAGCCTCTGAAAAATCTTCGCGAACAAGATCCTAATATAAAATGTCCCAAGGCCTACCTAGTAATAGGGAATTAGGTGCCGCGTTATAACACAGTAGGAGCCCAAAAGTTGGAAACCCAATAGCCTCAATCCTTAAGAGCAATGTAAGGGGAATCCCAGCACTACTAGGCCTTAATCCGGTTTCCAACTTTATGGGGTTTACTCTAGGGACACCAAAAGGGACCATAATTTCGGACAACCACCCATGTGACTGCCGGGTTGCGCACCAGAGCCTGGTAAGGTAACCAGGGCTCCACAGCACTCTGAGCTCCCCTTGGCACTGCGGAGTTCCGCAGGCATCTGGGAATCTTTATTTCAAATTTAGGGCTGGGTTAAGGGCCGGTCGTATGCCCTTATACTGAATTCTTGTAATTCTGCACAACGGGTATGACCACATTGGCCAACTATTCCTTAGGCTGAACCCAGACTTGACTCTGCATCACTCGACATGTACCTAACCCTAAATTTTTGTAGGTTCTTACTCTAAACCCTAATATGGAATTTAAAGGGACCCTACAAAAAAGTAGATCAAGGTAGGGGGTTTATTTACAAAATTAGAGTCTACCGCTTCAGATCTGGGCTTCGGAAATAAGGCTGTCGGAGCTTCTGGATAACTGCACCTACTTGTCGGGTATCATGGGGAACTAAAGGTTAACCTTTTTGGTTATACAGACATTATATAGGGACTATACTACCCAAAAAGGGTTAAAGGTTACCTGCTACACGACTAGGTGCAAAACACAGGGCTTCTAGGGTTTAGGGTTTACAGGGGTAGGGGATTAGGGCTAAGAGGCTTGTACGGGTGGAGGGCTTACTTGAAGGATCATGGGACTTAGTAAGTAAGGTTTTAAGTAGGTTATAGTTAGGATAACCCCACTTAGGGGACTTATAACCCCACTTATAACCTATTTACTAAGTCCCATGATCCTTTAAGTAGGGATTAAGTACTCGCCGGGGCACTGGAGATTTTCAAAAAGCCACCGATGCCGTAGATGCCCCTCTCCATGAGCTTGGCATCCTCTGATTTGGGCTTTTTAGGGTTTAGGGTTTAGGGGTTTAGGGTTTAGGGCTTATTTCAGGTTTAGAGGGGGTCGGTAGTAAAAGTTCACGACTGGTGGCTGCATTTTCGTGGTTGAGGGTTGTTCATGCTGTACTTCTTCTGAAGGATTGGTGGTTAAGTTGCAGTTCCAAACCTGCGGGTAGAGCTATACGTAACGGTAGGGCTACTTTTGGTACGGCCCCCATACAGCAGCAGTCTATAATAGGGCTACTATAGAGGGCCTAACATAAATATATTACGAATATTATTGAGCTGTTACTGAGTGGGTACCAAAGGGCTACTAATGAAGCTTGGTGCTTGAAGATTTCGTTTGTGGAACAATTTCTCGGCCATTTCTGGCTGTCCAGGGGGGCCAATACTGCGCGGCATCCAGAAGTGCGCAACCATCTGTCATTCCAGAAGTTCCACAGCTTAAAAAACGACGACGACGACGAGGATGTCTACTACTACTACTACTACTACTACTACTACTACTACTGCTACTAGTAGTACTACTGCTACTACTACTACTACTACGACTACTACCACTATACCACTACCACTATACCACTACCACTATACCACTACCACTATACCACTACCATACCACTACTGATCAAATACTACTATTACTACTACTACTACTACTACTACTACTACTACTACTACTACTACTACTACTACTACGACTACTACTACCACTACCACTGCCACTACTACTACTACTACTACTACTACTACTACTACTACTACTACTACCACTACTACTACTACTACTACTACTACTACTACTACTACTACTACTACTACTACTACTACTACTACTACTACTAGTACTACTACTCCTGCTGCTGCTGCTGCTGCTACTACTACTACTACTACTCCTCCCTCCTACTCCTACTCCTACTCCTACTCCTACTCCTACTACTACTCCTACTCCTACTACTGCAAGAAGGTTAGGGTTTAGGGGTTCAGGGGTTTTGGGGGGTTTAGGGGTTTAAGGGTGTTGGGGTTCGAGGTTAGGGGTTTGGGCTTCAGGGTGTAGGGGTTTAGGTTTAGGGTGTAGGGGTTAGGAGAGTTCGGTTTTAGGGTGTAGAGCTTGATTTGCTTGACAAGCTCTTCATAGAGCGATAGTATATCCATTGAGAGTGGCGAATACCCAAAGACGCCTGTCAAGTGGATCAGGAGGGATCCTTATCATCCTTTCAGGCCATATTCCCAGAGATTCCAAAATCCCTTAATTAAGGGATATACCTCCAACTATAGACGGATCCCTGATATGACTTGAGGAAAAATGCCTTAATGAATTAAGGGGTATTGGAGTCTCTGGGTCCCTTCATCACCATACTGAACTTAGAACCCTAGCAAAAGTTATAATTTCAGCTGTTTCTCAGGGATTATAATTACCAAAAACTAAAAATTAGATCAGGGGTTTTGGAGACTTGGGGTCTCTCTGTTACTGCTCTGGCGCCCCAGAGGTTCTGGGGGGGGGTTAGGGTTTGACAGCAGAAGCTTTGAAGCCAAGATATGCTGCTATGAACCACATGCCTCACGAAACCATCCTGCTGAGGACCCTGGATACCGGTGCTATGCTACATCCGGAGATTGACTTGACGGGGTTTGAGAAGCTTATCAGGGGTTTCGGTGTGTTTATCTTGTTAGGGCTGTAGGGTTTTACAAGGCCCGTCTGGAGCAGGAACTTCGGCAAACCGATTCTGTGTACACATCAACCACGAAAACTCTTCAACCCTCAACCCCTGAAGGCTACGTTTATTGATACACCTAAACCTAAACTCCTGAACCCCTAAACCCCACACACCAAAGACCCGACATTATCCCCAAAATCTGTCGTGGAGGGGCTGTCTGATGGATGCTTGCCACATCGATAAAGCAGTCGTCCTTCCGAGCAAAGTCTCGGCTCGGTTTGAGAGTTAGGGTTGAGGGATCCCTGGGATTAGCATGTGGCGTCTACAATTGAAACAGTGCTTTGGTGCGTTTGTATATAACAATGTCTATAGTTTATGCGGAACACAGAACTTAAGGTGCCGATTTGCGGTGTATGGCTTGGCACTCCATGAGGAACTCTACTCACAGTTCAAATGCTGAACGCTTTAAGCATTGTCTCGAGGCTGAGTGGTATGGACACACTCCACACCAAGCCACAAACCCCCAACTCCAGATCCCTAAACCCCAAAAGGCTCTGAATGCCAAAACTGGGCCAAAACCCTAAATCTCCGCAGGAAAACAGATTCGGAGATGAGGCTTGGTCAGCGCCGCTGCATGAGGGCTTCAGTTAAAGCTTGCGGCGTGTAGCCGTTTGAGACGAACTGGGCTGACTATTTTCCCTAAGGCTCCATGTGCCCACATAGCATATACTTAAGCCTCAAAGGGGTACCTAGCCTTAGGGTTTGGTTTCGGTGTACATAAACCCTACAAGCCCTACCTTCAACCCTCAACACCCCTAAACCCTATAGACTCCTAAACCCTAAAGGCCCTAAACCCTACAAACTCTACAAAAACACCCTCAAGATGGTCCTTGGAGCCGGGCCAACGAAGGTAGGGCGAGGCCATGAGCCCCAGCAAAGAGAAGAAGACGCTGGCAAGGAGCACCCAAGGACCCGCGAGGCCTTGGGTTTTTTTTAGAGTTTGGGGTTTAGGGGTCTTTTAAAGTTTAGAGCTTAGGGTTTAGGGCTTACTGTAGGAACCTGATTTAAGCAACCCTGGGCCTTGAATAGGCTTCCTTATATGAATCCTACTATTTTGGTGTTATAGGCCCAGGGTGTCTTCATCAGGCTCCTACATTAGGGCTTGATGTTTTTGTTCGAAGTTGAAGGCCTCTTTGAGTCTGCCTGAGCGTCTCAAACCCGATTGGGTGCGTTTTTGGCAGCACCCTAAGGATCCATGTATTCATATAGTATATACATTGGCCGGAATGTAGTCCCTGTATGGGTACTTTGGGGCCCATGAATCTCTATATGGGTACATGGACCCTTAGGGGCATTTTGTCGCCGCCTCGTTGCAGGGTTTAGGCTTAAGGTTTTTGCATGTGATAAGCAATTCAGGCGCGTCAATAGTTAGCAGTCTTGGGGTGCACAATAACATATGCCTCAAGGAACCCGGGGAAATCTTAGTAAGTATTTCCTTATACTATGCGTATATGACAGGTCAGGCAGGCCTAAGCCTGCCTTTAGGTTTATTCAGGCTTTAGGGTTTATCGTGTTTTGCGCTTCGGGGGCACAGGGGAGGCTGTTTGGGGAACTGATTTCAGCCTGAGGGCTTTCTCGCGGCTTCCAGGGAGGCCGCTTAGGGTTTACGGTTTACATGAGAGTAGCCGCTAAATAGCCAAGTAAGCATGTATGCACGTATGTATGTATGTACGTATGTATGTATGTATGCTGGAACCGCGATGATCCCACGCGGGAAACCCTTATTGCACCAAAGCATGTAAACACGCATCTCTCGTGCATGCACAGCCCCATGCACAACCAGACCACACTTCAGCTACAACCTTAAACCCTAAACCACTAAACCCTGAACCCTATAACCCTAAACACTAAATTCTAACCTCTAACACCCTAATCCTAAACCCCTAGCCTCTAAACCCGAACCTCTAAACCCCTAAACCCTGACATTGATCCATGGCACAGTTTGCCTGCATCCCAACCAGCTCCACCTTGGCTGTGGGTGCAAGGGCAGGGGTTGTGTTCAAGGAAGTACATAACTCCAATATCCCTTAATTAAATCATATTAGAGTTCCTTTAAGGGGTCCTATAAGGTATCTATAGGGTTTCGGGTTTCGGCGACTCCGATATCCCTCAATTAAGGAATATTCCTGAACTCAGATTAAGGATCCTACGATTATTTCCGGTATATACTCCTTAATTTAGGGATCCTGGAGTGTGTAGGTATATGACGATGTGAGCTTTTGGAGGGGCTGGAAAGCTACTGTTACGCATGGGATGCTATGAAAGGTTTGGACGGTCTTGCAGGGGTTTCTCTACACCCTAAACCCCTAAGCTAAACCTCAAAGCCCTAAAGCCCTGACCCTAAACCTTCAAAACTTCTATGAGGGACTAAGCACCCCTCGGATTATGGTATGACAGAATTCAGGTCGGTGGAGCGGTTTGGAGCGAAAAGCTGAGAAATCTGAGCTACCTCCAGCACCTGCGTTTGGGGCTTTGGGTTTCAGGACTTCGGGCTAGGACAAGTCTTCGAGTTTAGCATGGTTTAGGATTTAGTGTGTTTAGGGTTTAAGATTAGGGTTCAAGGTTTGGTGTGCTTTGCGGCCCTGGATCGAAAGTTAGAGATTCCAGATCTAAGGGGTTCGGAATATAGAGCGTAACTCCGGATGTATGTGATTTCAGAGGTCAAGACAGAGAGCTTGCACTAGATGTTCTTAGAGGTGCGTGGGGAGATTATCTTCAGCCACAGGATCCTACGATGTCTGTGGAGCAGCGGGCATGTTAGCGCAAGCTTCTCAATAACATTCATGTTGCAGCTTGCAGCGCTAGAAACACTACCGTCCAGTTCACGCCAACCCCAGATCTCGAGTGCCGAGTGCTGGACACTCTGCAAGCCTGTATGCGTCGAGCGACAACCCTACCGAACTTCCTGCACGACATCCCAAACACCGAAATCCCGCAGAACTCAGACCGTCAACCCAGCACTGCGCGGCATCCCAGAGGGCTCCGAATGCGATAAAGATGCATCAAATTTCCACGGCAAAGGCAGGCGTGCAGTTGCGGAGAGCTCCGCGGTGACGATGACACCAAAGAACCTGTCTTCACACCGGCAGCAACTGGGTGGTTGTCGAAATTAGGGTCCCTTTTTGGGTCCCTATTATAATACGGCACTTAATATTTAGGGTACCCAAAAAGGGACCCTAATCCGCCCGCCGCCCAACTATGCTCTCTTTGCCTCTCTGCCTTGCCTCGCTCTCAGCTACGTCTGTCTACCCCTAAACCCTCCCTGTCTCACTCTCTGTCCCTCCCCCTGTGGCACAGCGAGACCTCAGAGCACTACTGCAGGAGCCTTCTGGATCCTCCAGGGGCCTTTTGTCTCAATTCTGCCACGTCGCCAAGACAAGAGGAGGGACTTGTAGCCAGACCTCACAAACATGCCCAGAGCTTCCCCTACGAGCAGAATGCCTTAAACCAAACGAAGGATTGCACGGCTTAGGGTGTAGGGTTGAGGGTCGGGATTTAAGGAAGAACTTTCAAGGGCTACGTCTACGTGCTCTCTGGAGTTTAGACACGCCTTGGCCGCGGCACGGGTCTCGTAAAGGCTCGCAAATTCCGACGAATTGCAGGGTGCCTGCTAAGCAACATGAGCTAGGCTGCAAGAACAAGGAGGGCTTCAATGCTGTTAATTACATTTTCCGTTTTTTTACCGTGGTAGGTGGCAAACCAAATTCAGTCAGTGTCTCAACAGATAACACCCCAAAATACGAGGGAACCTTCGAGGACTTTGCAAGCCGGTGCAGAGTCTCTCATATTTCAACTATGTCAGCCTCCTTCAAACAGGCACAGCATAGCGCACCCAACCAGACCCTGGACCCTGAAACCGAAAAAAGAACTGAACTATGTATGTGTGGGTGTATGTGTGTACCTATCTATCTCTATCTACCTGTATATATATATATATATATATATATATATATATATATATATTATATTATATATATATATTATGTATATCTATTTATATTGACCTATGCATGTACACTTCTTCTGAACGACTTAGCAGCCCAATGAGAGTTTCAACACCCCTTTGGCACCGAGACGCTGGAGCAGCAGCGCCAAAACTTTCTGAATTCCAGAGGTCTTCCAGGTGTGCGACAGGAACCTCGCAGTCTCACCAGACGACCAGTTAGTGTTCCTTCATCATATCATAGCACATCATGACACACCATCTCATATCATAGCATATCATAAAAATTTTACACGATATCACACCACATCAAGTAATGCCATATGGTTTCGGTTTCATGTCATATCTTAGAACTCAAATCATGTAATGTCATAGAATACAATATGACATCATGCCATCGCATATCAAGATATATCATCTCATCTCGTAAGGTATCGAGATGCTATGTTCTGTCATAACATATCGCATCATACCTGTCTTTGTATATGTACACATAGATAGATACGTAGTTAAATAGAAACAGTGATGGCTAGACAGATAGACAGACAGACAGATACATAGGAAGGCATCTTATTATGTTTGTGTGTGTGGTATGGTCTTGTCGAGTATTGCATGGTATGTTCTGCTATAGTATGGCAGGGTATAGTAGCTTGTGGTATAGGGTATAACTATGTTGCGTGTGTTCTGAGCTTATCTGCTCACCCTTTTTGACATATCTGTGTGTCTCTTCAGTTATCTCATGTTACAGAAATGTATATACACAATAGCCTAGTAACCAGCAACGTGTTATCACTTTGTATATAGAGGTAACTGGGCTTCTAGAATCTTGCAAAGCATTATGATCGGAGGCCAAAAGGGGGGTTTAAGATTCTTGGGGTGGGGATTCCTTAATATGAACCCTATTATGGGAACCCTACTCCCTACTAAACCCCCATAGGCTAAAACCCCTTTTGGCCTCCTATGACATTATGAACTCAGCTCCAGCTTGGCTTTCGGGCTTGTGCGGGGCTTCTGAGGCTTCGAATACGGGCCGGACTTATATAACTCTACGCACATAGACAATATGCCCGAGGCTCCACAGTGCTTGCACATGATGAAGTGTAAGGTGGACGGTTCGGAACTGAATTCTGCTCCTGACATTCTTTGCTGATGCCCACAAGACTTAATTATCGTAGTGAGGCCTCCTGGGCCGGACTCATTACATCGTCGTGTTGTCTGGTCCGCGTCTCCGGGATGGTTGCAAAAAGTTTGCTTGTCAACTCCAAAGCCAAGTTACAACGCAATTAATGCCATGGCCCTTACTGAGAATCTAATTCATAATGTACAGAGCGCGGTGCAGTATCACGAGCTGCCGCCGATGCACTGTGTGACCACGTGTGTTCGAGGATAACTGGTTCTGAGTCCTGTCCTCTAGATGTCCCCCGATTGCGACTTGCAAGCAACAGCTAGTTCGAGTCCCAGCGGCATGTCGAACTTCTTTACATGGTGAGACTTGTTCCAGATCGCGGCGCGGGCGGAGTCGTCCAGCAGCGCAGGAGATCTCCACCACATCCTTACTGTTTGGCAAGGCTGTCAGTTATCTCAGCACCTAAAGTCACCTAGGCATCAATGCTTTAGAACCGAAGTTGTAAGCTTATTACTAGCTTAATTACGACCCCATATAAACAGATTAACTAGTTCGGCTCAAGCCGGTTTTGCTGGAGTCCCGGGGTATGGGGTTTCGTGGCTACTACTGCATGAAGCTGAAGAAACCCCATTTCTGGGTTCTGGAGGCTAAACTCCTGAACCCCGTTCCCGGATCTCAACTCAGGCATGCCAGGGAAATCTGAGCGGCATTTTAGCCGAAGGGACTGAACCATCATATACTTCCGCATTGTCGCTCAACTTTAAGCACAATAATCATCATTGATTCAAGCGCTCCCCAACCCTGCGAGTAGATTCTAAACCCTTAACGGTGCGCCCGGCACCTCACACTTGTACAATTTAACTTTTATATATATATAGAGAGAGAGAGAGAGAGAGAGAGAGAGAGAGAGAGAGAGTATAAGTCACAGTATAAGAAACCCTAAGGAACAATAGTGGTACTGTTGATGGTCAAAACCCTGCATTACCCATAATAAGGCGAATATACCATAATTCCCATAGGGTCCTTGAGGTCATGCAGGATTTATACCATCAACCCTAGTCATTCACACGTTCTGTAGATTTTTAACCTAGTGTCCGGCCACCGCACCGCAAAGAGTCTCGAAGAGACAGGCCCCGGACAAGTTCCCAATCCACCTCGGGTCGCTTTGCGTAGGCCTTTGGGCTTAGTAAGGTTTAGGGTTAGGATTTAGGGTTTAGGATTTACCTATACTCTCCATTGTAGTTTTTAGCCAAATATATAATTAGGTTCCTATAAGGTAACACCAAAAAGGAACTACAATGAACTCTAGGTAGGGTTCAGGGTTTAGGGGCTTCATGGTTTCGGGCCTGGAGATTCTGCTTCAGGGCTGGCAAAGTTTAGGGCTGAAAACCCTTGGGATTTGCTTTGGGACTGCCTTGACATACCAAAATCTACAGTTTTGTAGGGTCCCTACACATTCCATACTCGTTTTTTTCAAGAACCTCCACGAATCTAGGGTTTGGTAGGTTAAGATGCAAGTTGAAACCTGAACGTGGGCACTACTGGGCACGTAAATGCATCTGGGTCCTGGATGGAGGGCCCAATGGAGGGTTCACCGTGCTCTCCGTGAGTCCTTGTGCGGTGAACCTTTGTGCGAATACCCCTATGCACCCAAAATCCACTTCTTGCATCCCCTCCCAAATGGACAGCCATGGGTTCCAGATTGCCCTTAACCCTCACCTGAGTCCCGAAGAGTTGAACTCGTGCAAGGAAGCTGGTGCGAGCTTCGAGCTTCAAAATCTGGGTTTTATTGTGTTTACTTTTCTGGGTTCAGGATTTCTGTGTCAAGATTCAGCGCATATTCAGGGCGCAAGCTTGGGATCTAGCTTCTTTTAGGATTCGTGTTTACAACTTTCTTTTGAGAATTGTCAGGCTGTGTGCAGGGCTTCTTCAATATGCCTTAACTCCAAGTAACCTACCGTTTTAAGGACTTATAAAATGAAATCATAATAGGGAACCCGAAAAAGGTAGGTTCCGTAGGGTCCAGGTGGGGCTTCAGGCTTCATGAGGGGTTTGGTGCTCAGGATCTGTGAGCATCCCACCAGACCCTATCTTTCTTCCAAGGGTAAAAGGAGGGACCCTTCATAAGGACCCCTAGGTATATACCCTTAACATATAGCTATGATATACACATTTTTAGGGTAGGGGTCCCCATTAAGGGTCCCTGCTTTTCCCGTTTGATTTCTACATCCATCAACAAAGGCCTCTATGAAGTCCTTTTGCAGTCCGCTCCAGAAGTCTTTTCGCAGAGACTCCAATATGCTTGAATAAAGGAGTATACCTTAAACTGTGGTAGGATCCCTCATATGATTCAAGAAATAGTCCTTAGTTAAGGGATATTGCAGTCTCTGGGTTGATAAGGCCTACACAGACCTGGCCTGCAGGTGGCCACCGGTGGCCATTCGCTCGAACTTGTTCGGAACCTTGTGTATTTCGAGGGTTTGTACAGTGTTGGAAAACAGAGACCCAAACACATGGCAGCGGTTTAGGGTTAAAGACACTAAACGGACTTTTTGCCTGTGCCCGTATAGTATATACTTTCGGCCCTAAAGTAGCGATGTAGGGACTGCTTTGAAGCCTTGAGTACATAGACTTTTAGGGCTACATGAGGTCAGCCGAGGTGCATCGTCCAGGTCACCTTGCTCTGATGCATCGTCCAGGTCACCCTGCTCTAAGGCCTCGGCGATCTTGTCCAAGGCATCTGTGCATGAAGGGATTGCCTTGGCTAAGGGCTGCATTTATATATTGGAACAAGCTGTTCGTGGTGATCGCACGGCATTGCTAGATGACATGTGTTCCAAGTCGTCCAATAAGCTTCGATCGTACAGCCAGGGAGGCAACAGGTAGCACCGAAAACACAATCTACAAACTCTGGTCGACACAGAGACGTCGAAACTGACATTTCCCGAGACCCAGAGCCCGGCCGTCCCAACGCAAAAGTTGCCGCACGACAGCCACTTAGACTCTACCCCGATATTAAAACATACTGCAGAAACTCAGCTGCAGCAGTGCTGCATGGCCTATGCGGCAGCTGCTGTGCTCTTCTTTCGCCTGGATCTTTAGATCATTGCAGATGCACTTGCATTGAATAGAACAACGGGCTTTCAGGTCCGGAGTGCAGGATACTAGTTCCAAAGGGCTGAAGCCCCTGCAGCTTCGCGTGGGTTGGCATTTGTGGATTTAGGGTTTAGGATTTGGGTTTGGGGCTTTGTGGTTGGAGTTTTGGCTTCTGAACAATGATTAGGATCCTATCTTTAAGGGATTCGAAACAGCATTGTGAAATATGTACAGTATGCAAGGCCTAGGATTTATAAGGCACAGTGTAGCTTCGGGTTGAGGGCCTAAGTTTAGGATATACAATTCATTTGGATTGGGGGTCTTGAGACCTCCTCGACACTCAAGGGAATTCGTGCCCAAAAACTAAAGCTTGCACCATATTTCCAAAAGTCTACCTAAACCTTACAAAAGAACACTTGCCAAAAACCCACACCTCAAGACCTAGATAAACTCAAGGTCTCGAAAAAAATGAAAATTCTTCTTGCAGCTCCTTCGGGCCGGTGGGGGCTTTGGTTTGCCGAAGCATGTAGATGAGGCTTAGGGCGTTCAGGGCTCCGGATTGGGGGTTTAGGGTTTAGGGTTTTAGGGTTTAGGGTTTTAAGGCGTTTAGGGTCCAGCAGGATTGGGAGTCTTAGGGCTCTGCGCCGACGCTTCTATCGAGGATTCGGGATGCTTTACGCGAGAGGATGGTAGAAGGGGAGGTCGGGATTTAGGCTTCGGGATCGGATCCGTGACTCCTGCGGGAGTATGGCACCTCTCATGCATCGAGATGGCGGTGCATGCAACTGCACAGCTGCACTGCGCAATACTACAAAACTGTGCCTCCGCAAACTTCAGGACGTCAGCTTTAGGGAGCGTAAACCCTGTGCGACATGCACCAAACCCAGAACCCCAAAGACCCCAAAACCTGAGCTTTAAACCCTAAACCAACCTCAATCCGCAGACCCCCCTGGGATTCGAAGTGGCTTGGGAGATGTTTAGGCTTTCAAATCAAACCATGGCTACTTGGAGGGTCATGGGACTTAGTAAGTAGGGCCATAAGGACCTTAATTGAGGTTAGTTACCCTACTTATAACCCCAATTACTAAGTCACATGATCCTTTAAGTAGACCCTAAACCCTTATAGTACCCCTATAAAATTTCCCTAAAGGGACCCTTTAAGGACCCCAATTGCTAAGTCCCATGATCCTTTAAGTATGGGGAGCTCTGCAACCTGGGGTTGAACTGAAAGCTAAGGGTTCCCACTAGATCGACTTTAGTATAACCTCCCTGGACCCTACGGAACCTACCTCTTTAGGGCTCCCTGCTATGATTTCTTGTTATAAGTCCTTAAAAGGGTAGGCAACTTGGGGTTAAGGTACCGGTTGCTATGACGGCTGGCAATCCGGATACTATTCTGACGGCAGAGATTCGGACGTGAAGGGTTAGAGGGTTTTTTTGTAGTTTACCTATTTGTCGGGTATCATGGGGAACTAAAGGTTAACCTTTTTGGGTATATAGGGATTATATACGGACTATACTACCCAAAAAATGTTAAAGGTTACCTACTCTACTACAAGGTTTAAGGCCACCAAGGTAAAACGTGGTTTGGTGTCCCCGGCTTTAAGGTCTTTGAGGGGTGTGACAAAAACAAACAAAACCCAACACATACTCTGGACCCTGGGCACGACACAAACCCCCAAACCCAAAACCCCCACACCCTAAACTAAATCCCTAAACTCCAAGCCCTACATCCGTGAAACCCAAACCCTGAGCGACCAGGCCTGCAAATGGCTCGTCTCGGAACCCATCTTGCAGAGCTGCAAAGCTGTTTGAGCCCAGCGGACGATGATGTGTCCAAACGGCTTGTGGGTTAGGGTTTAGGGTGCACGCTTTCTGTTCAGATGGTCGTATACAAGTATGGGGCTTTCGGTTTGGTTCGGGTTTTCAAGCTGCATGAACTCAGAATTTAGGTGTTGCGGGCGCTTAGAAATGACTTAGAATGTATAAGGCTAAGGTAGTCTCCACTTTGGGAGCTTCGTAATGTTGCCAAGAATTTCATCAACACTCGATCTAGGGCAGGAAACAAGCAGAACTCAACATTTCACAAGGCTCCGGGATACGATATACCAGAACCATGTGGAGAAGATCATAGGACACAGTTTCTAACATATGTACACATTCTTGTGTATATACATAAATGACTATCACTGATGCTAGTATAGCCATCATTACAATAACAACTACAAATTGAAATCAGTAGATCTAACTACTATTGCCAGTACAGTTACAAGTAATTACTGTTACGCTTACGACGCCTATTCCGATTGCTCTGTCTTTATCAGTATCGCTACTTATGTGGACCTATCTGTTGTCTTAGACCCTACAAACTATATAAACCCCTAAACCCTCAGCCCTCACCCCCCTCAACCCTAAAGCCTATTCCGATTGCTCTGTTTTTATCAGTATCGCTACTTATGTGGACCTATCTGTTGTCTTAGACCCTACAACCTATATAAACCCCTAAACCCTCAGCCCTCACCCCCCTCAACCCTAAACCCTACCCTAAGGCCCCAAAGTAGTTCCTTTTTGAGCATCTCTCGAACAGCCAAGCCAGTTAGCGATTCCGGGCCTTCCCTGGAGCTCACGCCTGAGAGGAACATCTGAGCCCGCGGTGACGATCACGAACCTGGGCTTCGAAGGTTTGGGATTTTTAGGATTTAAGGGTTGGGATTTAGAGCTTAGGGTGAGGGTCCATGTACCCAAATTGTATGTACTTTGGCCTTAAAATACTCCCTATAAAGGTACATTGGGCCCAAAGTATATACTAACTATTTGGGTATATGGACCCTGAGGGTTCGGGTAAGGTTTAGGGTTTAAGCCTTCCAAGGTTGATACTAAGGCTGGGTTCAGAAACTGTGGGAGCCCAAACTAGAGCTTATGGTAAGGTTTAGGGTTTAAGTTAGGATCTTTTAATGAAAGCCTGAACCCAGCGAGGATGGTGACGACATGGTGGCGATGGGACCACCGCGGAGATGACGCGCTATAGGGGCCTTAATAATTCGAATATGATTTTTGGTGCCCGTTAGATTGGAATCATAATAAGGAACCCCCAAAATAATAGTACAGGTAATTGCTAGACTACTACATTGGGCATCTTACCTTAAATACAGCCGACAAGTACACAAGGCAATTTCTGCAAAGTGTTCACTGTGTTTCCGCTTGACTCATCGTTGGCATACCTCTGGCAACGAGGGTGTCGTCCCTTCCGGTCCTGATTCCAATTCCTGCATTCGGCGCTCATTAGCCAGGAGGCCTCTGCGTCTTGCAGCTGGAGCCTTCCATAAGATCTACGAACCTGGGCTGGGAGTTTCTGGCCTTTGGATTTAGGGCTACGGTTTACGGTTTGGGGTTTGGAACCACCCTTGATCGTTGAATGCAATTTCAGCACCTTACCTTGTCATCCACCAGGAGGCTCTTCCAAATAGCGCGTCTCCACAAACATGACCTCAGGGAGATGTTGGGCCGTAAACATCGGTAGTATCTCATCAACTGCCGAACTGCCAAATCCATCGCCATGCAAGTTGAAGTTCATGGCTTAGCGTTTTGATTGGCCTTCATCACCCGAAGCCAACCTTGAACCCTGAACCCAAAATCCTACACCCCTAAACGTTAAAACCCTAGACCTTAAACACAAAGTCAAAAAATCAACCCTAAGCCTTAGAAAACCCTAAACCCTATGTGGACCCTACGGAACCTACCTTTTTAGGGTTCCCTACTATGATTTCTTTATATACGTCCTTAAAACGGTAGGTTACTTGGGGTTAAGGTAGACCCTGAATCTAGCTATGCTTCCAGTCGCCGGGGTCAAGGCAAGGCTTGAGCCACAAGCCAAGCCACAACCACGACGTCCTAAAGATGACCTCCGTGTACCCAGAGACTCCAGTATCCCATTAAGGGATATTCCTTAAAGCATATTCCGGATCCCGAACATGATTTACAGTATATCCCTTAACAAAGGGAATCATATCAGGGATCCTACTATAACTTATGGTATATTCCTTAAGTAAGCGGCGACTATAGGAGCTATTATAAGGATTTAATGTAGTGGCCTTAATAGCTAGGCTAGGTACTATAATGTAGGGGCCTTAATCGTCTGACTAGGGTTTTGGGCCGATTATTATACTCTTACAGCAAGGAACCCCTCGAAACAGTGTAGGTATTTATCCTAGCCATTGGGACCGAAACCCCAAACCTTAAAACGCCCAAAGCCTGAACTCCAAACCTTGAACCCACAACCCCAAACCCTGAACCCCAAACCGCAGAAACCCTGCCCGGAATCCAAACCCTGCACGTTGCAGGAGTTCATCTATAGCTTTGTCTAGATTCTAGATTCATTCCGACGACTTGAAGTTGACAACTCTGCAACACACAAACCTCACCATAAAGCGGGATGCAACCTATAATCAGCCGTGCAAAGCCACAGCCCAATACACTATAGACTCTCAACCAAACCCCCATCCAGAAAGGCTGATACAAGCTCCAATGACAGAGAGCACCGCTTCAGACGGGGCGCCAAAGGGCCCGTAGCTTTGAGAAGTCGCTGTGCCAAGCAAAATGGCGCTTGGTCCTTGTCACGCCTGTCCAGGTATCCGTTCAAGGCTTTCCCTCGTTTCGGGCTTGGGGCGGGGGGCCGCTTTAGGGTCGAGAGTTCAGGGTTGAGGATTCATAGGGTTTAGAGATGAGGGCTTGTTTGAGCAAACAAGGCTCTGGTTGGCTTGGTCGCATTCATGTTCCAGGCAGTGCGGCCAGGTATCGTCGAAACGAAAAGTACACCTTGGTCTCGTTCTATTCTTGCCGAAGTACACGCCCGAAACAGGAGTCCCAACACCTCAATCCTGCGTCCTGGCAGGGTCCCTAAATCTCCAACCCCTTGATCGAAACCCCTATAACAGTTTAGGGTTTCGGGTTTAGGGTTTAGGGGTTTAGGGTTTAGGGCGGGCTGGTCGGTGCTGGTCCCATTACCGCAAAAGCTAGCAGCAAGCTGTACGCCCCATGCACTGGTTCAAGTTTGGGGCTCCCTAAACCCTAAACCTCAAATCCGAAAAAGCATGTACAAACCCTTAAACCACTAATATTCCTAACACCCTAAAACCCACCAATAGTATTCAAATGCTTGCTTTCTTTTAATTACAGCTGACTCTGGGAGCGGATTACAGGTCAACCAGTTTGTGTATGTACAAAAGGTACTATAGGGGTCTTAACAATTAGAAAAGGGCTTTCGGTGACATACTCTCTATATGTATACATATATATATATATATATATATATATATATGTATATATATATATGTTACACAACAGCTCATGCTTGATGTTATAAACCATCCAAAGCAACAACATACACGTACACACGCACTAAACTAGTACACAGTTCAGAGAACCCCACGTGCAATCACTCGAAACATGCACAAACCACTGAAAATCGTTGTTGCCAAAACGCAGGCCCCACAGCCTCTTCTGTGTATATATGTATGTGTACGCATATGTATACATGTATGTATAAGATGTGTGTGTGTGTATATATATATATATATATATATATATATATATATGCATACGAAACGTAGTATGCCTATGGCCTATATATATATATATATATATGTATATATATATATATATATATACATATACATACCAAGGTATGCGAAGACATGACATACTTATTTGTGGCTTCGACGTTATCGACGTCGGCAACTGCATCCTCCTTGAAAATGTGAGTTTAGGGTTTAGGGCTTGTACTTGTACCAATTGAGTTTCACAACTCTCCTGATCTCTCCCCTTAAAGCTGCAAGCCCTGACTGATGTAGGGGCCTCCTCAACAATTACGTCTTCCAGGTACGGCGTATTCATGTTATCGCTATAGAGGGTCTATAAGACGAGGTTCATATATACTAGCCTACAATTCTCTATACTACACTGAGAGTTCATGAATCCAATGCCCTCCCCCAGATGCTACCATGTATCACTACGATCCTTACTACCCTAAGCCTATTCTAAATACTAAGGCCCCCATATTATAGAACCCTACTATAGATCCCATACAGACCCCTTTAAAGGAGCTTGTTAAGGGAACCTAAATAGTAAGGCCTCTAGATTCTGCGCTGCGTGCTTTGGACCTTGAGGGCGAGGCCAGGCCCCTTTGCTTCCCGGGCCTTGGGGATTTGTGCCCAGGAAACGGAGCACATTGCCAGCTGTCAGATTGAGCCATGTACCTCAATTAGGGTTTTTTTGTTTGAGCTCCTTTTCTCCAGTGCCCCGAAAGGTCTGAGAGGCCTCAACTAGGGTTTAGGGTTTAGGGAAATCTAGCAAAGGGGCCTTCATTCTTAGAATCGGCGTGAGAGGGTGGGTGGGGGGGGGGTTACATGTTACGATAATTGTGACAGGAGCCTGGTGTCCATACCATACTTAGAAATTGAACCCTATATCCTACAGGCTCACCCCTGGGTCTAGGTCCAGGTTACTGAAGGGAGGGCCAAGCTGTTCATGGGTTTCAGGGTGTGCTATTTAACGAGTGGGGTTGATTTGGGTTCAGTGCTTGGCGGTTAGGCCACAGGACCGTCGCAATCACAACTGATCCTCTGTTAAAAAATTTGGTCAACCCAAGAAAAAGGAACACTTAAGACTGTAGGTCGGGTTTCGGGTGAGAGCCCTAAAGCCCTCAATCCCACACCCAAACGCACCCGCTAAACCCTAAAGCCCTAAACCCTAAAACCCCTCAACTAATCCCTCAACCCCAACTAAACCCGAAACCCCCATAAAATACCTTCCCCCCCTTCTAGATCCCTTGTGGATCCCTTTAAACCCCAACTAACCCCAACACCTAAGGTCACAGAGCCGGGCAGCGTAGAGGACGCGATGAGCTTCAACGCTCGATAACGCGGATCCAGCGGAAACCTTACGGGAATCTTTGGTCTAGGGCTTAAACGGTTGGGCTGGGAGGGGGTTTAGGGTTTAGGGTTTGGGGTTTAGGGCTTAATTGAAGGGTTTTACGGCTTAGGAGTTTTCGATCCTGGAAGTTTAGAGTTTAGGGCTTAAACGGTTTAGGGTTTGAGGGTATTGGGGTTTAGGATTTAAAGTTCTATGGCTTTTCGGCGTTACTTGGAATCCTGGTTGTTTTATAAGTGGTTAACATAGTTATGTTAGTTAGCTAAAAAGTTAGGTGGAGTTAGCTTATGTTATAGACATCAAAATTGTAGAAGTAACTTGTGTGTTTTGGCATTGAGGTTTAGGCTAGGGACTCTGATATGAGAAGACACTTCATGGAGCATAAACACTGGTATCGGAAATGAAATATATAAAACATGTAGCTTGTCAAACAAATTTAAAGCAAAAATACATGTCAATGGCCTGCATGGACAGGCTGTCGTGCATGGCCTATAGGGCTAAAAATGTCATGTGCATGTGGTACAGCCTTGTGGCGGATTGAGAAGCACTGTTTTTCAAAGCCTGTGGTACAGCTGGTACGGTAGCAGCACAGTGGCCTCCCTCTCTGTGGTCTTGCTGTACACCATTGGGTACAGCAAGGAGTCCATGGACACGAAGCCTTGCTCGTTGGTGATGGAGCACTTGGCGAACTGCTTTGTCTTCTGTGTCTCTGTTGGCCTCCAACGTTGGACGAGTGTGGCTTTGTCGCCTCCAAGCTCCAAATGGAAAAGCACTTGGCCCATGTCCCATCTTCCGTCTTCCTGGTGGAACACCACGACGTCGTTGGCATGGATGGCACCACCCCTTGCGAGCCTCGCGATAGAGGCAACCATGGCTTCAGTTGCTGAGCAATCCACAAACTGGTTGAGGAATTGCAGCTGGTGCTTGTTGGGCTTCTTTGGCTTCACCAACTGGCAGGAGTCTGGAAACAGCCCGGCCTGTGTCAAAGTGGTGATCTCGGTGGCGAGCACCTGGTTGAGCAAGTGGATCTCGAAGGCGGCTGTTTTCTGGAGCCTTGTGGCGAAAGCAGATATGGTTTTGTGCTTTCGTTCGCTCGTAAATGTCGATGGCAGGCACCCATGCCGTTGGAGAATATCAGGCAAGTGGAGCAGCCAGTGCCACTTCCGCATCAGTGGCACGTCGAAGTTGGCCTGTTGGAAGGTCTCGATGGATTCTTCCGCAGCCCTGAGAAGGCTGGCTCTGGTGGTGGCTCCATACATGACCCCTTGGTGAACCTGGTCGATCAAGCAGGCCTGGCTCAAGAAAGCTTGGCAAGCCTCTGGGCAGATTCCGCTTGACACAACAACAGAATGCAAAAAATGGCGAATGATTGGATAAAGCCCTAGGAGGTCCGAAGCTTGGCAACTGAACTTCTGGCTGCTCTTGTACTTGGCGACCTTGCTTGTGTCGAACAAACCAGCCAAGTGACCGGCCTTGGAAGCACCTGGAAAGTTCCACATCCTTATGTATGGGCCCATGGCCTCCCAAATGTTGTAGTGCTCGGAGATGGCTTGGAAGCTCTGGAACAGCACGACTGGGGCCGTTCCTTGCAGAATGCCGTGCATCCAGTCATGGCAGAACTGGCTGACTGGCTTCACTTGGTTCTTCGCCAACAAAGTCTGGTTCAGGAGCAAGGCCTGGGGATTCCAGGTCCAACCGGTGGCTTGTTGCCATTGCGAGAATTCTGCTTTGGTCCTGCACGTGGCTCGCCTTTCGTCTAATCTGCGGTAGGACTGGATGACGTCTTCATCAGTGGTCAAAACCAATTGGCTGTATTTGGTCGTGCGGTGGTCCATGATGTCGTGGTTGTCGCCTGTGGGTGGTCCTGAGTGGATGTTGGCGCATAATATGCAAAATTTGGTACCAGAATCACCTTTGGAAGACCAAATCTGCTTATGGGCACCGCCGTCTGCCAGACATATGGCCCACCGGAAATGGAGCCGGACATCGGAACCTGGGCCATGTGGGGATTTCAACACAAACCCTGCCAATGGTTCCACGTGGGCATTGGCGAAAATGGTTTCCAAGATCTTGGACATGATCTGGCAGATGCCGCCCTGGACATGGCTCACGAAGTTGGACCTTTCAAGAGAGATGGTCAGCCAGAGGTCCTCGTGGTGGAGGAATTGGTCCATCTCCCTGAAGCTGGCATAAATGGCCCAAAATTTACGTTGGGCAGGTCCTAAGACGTTTCCTGGTATCACCTCATCTGCATAAAGTATAAGTTGCCATGGCTTGGAGACGGATGATGGGTTGGCTCGGTGCTTCCTTTGGATCAGATCATGGAAGCTTCCACCCATCTGGAAAAGACTGGCCAGGTAAACCAAGAGGTTGGCAAAGTACATGGTGACTTTGGCACCATCATCGGTGGTGACCTCTGCTTCTTGGATCAAAGGACCCAGTAGCCCACCATGGCAGCTCTGTAGAAGCTCCTCCCTGGCTTTCCGCTGGTCATTGGAAGAGCTCTTCTCTGGGAGGCCTTGTTCCTTGGCGACTTCCACAAAAGCAGCCAGTGCACTTTGGGAGTGACCTGGCAAAGCAGCTTTGAAGGTCAGCAGCTGCTGCAGTTTGCTCTTCTTCTGTGGAGGTTCCATGGCCAAAAATGGCTGAGAGTGGGTTTGGGGGCAAGGGCAGTGGCAATGTGCTTTGCTTCACATGGGAATCAATGGTATGTGTGCTATATGGATGAAGGCTGCATCCCTGTCTATATAGGCTGTGGATGTCAGACTCACATGCATGGACCTCTTCGTGGGAGAAGTCTGGAACCTTCGTTGCTGAAGCGATGGCGGGCACAGTGCGTCAACAAAGACCTCGGAAGTGCATATATACACAGAAACAGCATGCTGCAGGATGGCCACGGCATGGCTTCAAAGAATCACTTTGTCCAAAGACATGCAGGCGGTCTTTTTGCTCGTGTCGGCACGGTGCACCCTGCCTGGGCTGTTGTGGCTTCTTGCTACCCTGCACCTGGGCCCCTTGGTGCTGCCCTGCAAGAAAACAAACTGCCTGGAACCATGCCTGGCACTACTTCTTGGGAGCCTTCTTCATGGCCTTGTTGGCTTTGTGGGCCTCGATGTACTCCCTCCAAGCTTGGCGGCCGTGGAGACGGGTGCCCCGAAAGTTTGGGTCCCAACAACTGGAGCATCCCTTAACATTACCACGACAGCGGATACATCCGTAGAGGATCTTTGTGCTGCCGCCTTTGGCGGCGGTGGCACCTTTGCCAGCCTCATGGCCGTTGCAGGTGGTGCCCTGGTTCGCCGAGCTTTGTCGGGTAGACATGGCTGCTGCTGGCCGCTTCATATGCTGTTTCTTGGGCTTCTGGTCGGCCTGGCCGTCCTCCTTGGCCTTCTTCTTCTTGTCGGCCTTGGCATCCAGCAGCTTCTGGAACTGCTCCTGCTCGTACTCCTGCAATGTCTTGGCGTCCTTGCAGGGTGAAATGCTGCAGAACAACCCCGAATAAGCAGTATGGAAGGAAACTAAACAAAAATATACACGTGTCCTGCTTGGCACTGTCTTCCTTGGCAGTCGTCTCCGTGGGAGCTGCTTCGACTCTGGTCGTGGCTTCAGGAGGCGGGCTTGCCGGAGGAAGTGGCAAAGCAGCGGCAGATGCTGTGCTCTGGCCAAAGACCTGGCCAGGGGCAGTTGTGCTGGCAGCACTCTGGCTGTGGGACTGGACCATGCTTCGCGGCGACAGCCAAGGCAACACTGCTGTTGCTGCGGCGGTGGGCCCTTGGCTTCCCTGCAGAGTGGCTGTGCCTTGTGTGGCTGCTTGGGCTTGGATGCCATGCCGCAGCTTCAGCATTTCCAGCTCCTGGTCGAAGCTTAAGGTGGAGCCCTGAGGTGTCGCTGGAGGCCGCTTGGACCTGCACCTGGTGCCGCCGGCCAATGAAGCATGGGTGCTTCGAAGAGGCACCTCGGGGACGAAGACGTAGAAATGTCTACATGCATGCAAGAAACAAATGCAACACGGAACAGATCCAAGTTATGCAACCAAGGGGCTTTCTTCAAAAATGGAGCCAGGCATGGGTCCTGCAGATCTGGCTGGTCGCCTGGACCATAGGCCTTGGAGAGCCAAAGCTGGCCCATCTCTGATGGATGGTCTGGATATCTGCTGGCGCCGGGGCAATTGCTGCTTGGCAGGGACTGGAAGATGATTCCGAAGTCCTGGACTGCCGAGTTGATGGCAGCTGCCGAAAGGCTTGGCTTGCCTTGCGAAGCTTGCACCATCAAGACAATGGCGACCGCTTGGCCCTTGGTGCATTCTTTTAAAGAATGCAGTCCCATGGCTCGGAGTCTTTTGGCTAAGAGCTCCAGCTGGTCCGTTTGGCTCGTGAGGGTGGACAAAGCGACCCAGTCTGGCCTGGTCAAGTATGGACACAGCCGCTGGACGGACTGGCCAGTGTTCACCAACTTGAGCTGGGAGCCGGTGTTCATGGACAAATTCTGGATGGTGTCCAGAATCTTTGCTTTCATGGCCTCTGGCAGTTTGGAAGCTTCGCCGGCCTTGGCAAGCATTTGGCAGATGCTCTCCGAGGACCAGGACTGGAATCCCTGGATCTTAGCCATGAAGGTGTTGGCCATGCTCTCGGTGACTGGTGAGTCTGGCAGCATCTCGGCCAGCTTCTGGAGATGAGCAATCTCCTCGACGAAGTCTTGGCACCCGTACCGCTGCATGGCCCTGAGAAGCACTGGCTGCTCACACTGGCCTGGTCGGGCTGAATGGCCTAAAAGGCTGCAATGAAGAAAGCATGGGAAACAAACACAAAGGAATGCGACTTGAAATGAAGTTCAGAGAGAGATATATATATATATAGTATAAATATGTGTTCATGGCCAGTTGGCTGCTTCGAAAAATAGGGTGCTGGCCACATGGCTCGCAAAGCATGGTATGGCCGATTGGCTTGCATGCAGATCATGGCAGAGCACTGAAAGCTTTCTTTTTGGCAGCGACCACTGTGGCAGCTGTGGTTTCACGTGGTTTGTCTGGAAGAAGCCATGGTCGTCCTTGGTCCTGGCAGGAGCAAACTGCATGGGTCATCTTTGTGAATGGACACACTGGCCTTGTGGTCACTGGAGACTTCTGTAGCGATCTGGCATGGCCGTTGGAGTGGTGGCCCCAGATCTCTCCATCTGGTCCAGTTGGTCCTGGACCCAGGCCCCGAACTTGGGCTCCCCCATGTACCTTGGGCCAAGTGGTTGGCAGGCTTTACCACTGAATGGCTTAAATGGCAACAAAAAAGATTGGGAGGTTTCCGGATCAAGCCTATGCTGCATGCTGTTATTGTTATTGTAGAATGAAAACTATGGAATCTATATCTGGTCGAGCTGCCACTGGATTTGTCTCTGGGCTCGTCCATGGTCGTCCTTGGCAATGGCTTTGGAAAGCCAAAGGCACTTCTGGCACCATGTTGGCGAACCACTGGCAGTCTCCAGTTGGGTTGCCCCGGTGGCGACTTGCTCGTTGGCCTCTTGGATGAAAACACTGGCCAGCTCTTGGGCCCTGGTCCATCTCTGGTTGTGGAGCAAGATGGCTAGCCAGCCAACCTTATGTTTCCAGCCCGTGCTCTTGGTCTTGCTGTGGCTGGTTCCTGAAATGCCTTGGCTCCACGGAACTGGCTCTGCTGGTGGTGGCCCCGGTGGTGGACAGGCCCACTTTGCTCGCAGCATGAGAGGTTTGGCTTTTGGTGCACTGGAGCTGGACCTGGCCTCTGATTGTGGCGGTGATCTTGGTGGGGTTTGGGCTCGTTGGAGCAGGTTGATCCCTCCCACTGGTGGGGTTGTTGGCGGCGGTGGTGTGGGTGGTGTCTTGGGTTGTGGGATTGGGGTTGGAGGGGTGCTGAAAGGGGTGGAAATGGTGGACTTGGCTGGGGGTGGTGTCATTGGAACCTCCTCATGCACTGTCTGTGGCCTTCGGGTGGGTGGGTATTTGAGCTTGGGTTTGGGTGTGATGGTGGTGCTGCCTGCTGGCGGTGTGATGGGTGTGGTGCCGTCTGGCGGCGGTGTGCCGGGTGTGGTGCCGTCTGGTGCCGGTGTGTTGGGTGTGGTGCTGCCTGGTGGCGGTGTCATGGCCGTGGTGCGGTGGAGTGTGTGGGAGGGGCTGTGCTGGTGTGTGGGTGGCGCTTTGGACGGCAGCTTGGGGCCCATGTCTGGGCCACTGACAGGGGCTTTGGCTGGATGGTTTGGATGTATTGGGCGGTTGGTTGAAGCTGCTGTGGGGCAAAGGACACTGGGAGGCCACTGCTGGCGGGACACTGGACTGGTGGTTTGGGTGCTGTGGGTGCGGTGGCAGCATGGCAAGCGGGGATTGGCCATGTTGCGGGCGAAGTGGCGGGGGGGTGGAAGGGGATCCTTGGTAGGAGTGGATTGGTGGTGGGGAGAAGAGGCATGCACATGGGAGCTGGTGTTGGCCAGGTGCATGGTGCTATGGGTGCTGTGGATGCCATGGGCAGTGTGGCGGTGGCCTCAAAGCAGGTGTGTGCCAGTGCTGGCACAAGTGGCCTGGGCCGAGCATAGCCAGTGCATGGGTTGGGGATTGGGCATGGGTTGGGGATTGGGACGTGGAAGGGCCATGGCATTGGGGGGACGGGTTGGGCAATGGGGGGTTTGAGTTTGGGCGGAGGTTGGGCTGTGGTCTGCTCGTCGAAAGGTGTGACGGGTGATGGCGGGGCTCCTGGCTGTGTGGGGCTGGCTTCGGTGGGAGCTTCCGGGGATGGGCATCGCAGGGGGATCTGGACCGTTGGTTGCCCTGGTGGGCCTTCTTCTGGCAAGGTTGGGTCGGCCAGCTCCTCTGTGGGCACCTCGGTGGGGTGCTCGCTGGGGCTCGTTGGCACCTCCGTCGGCGACGTGGCCATGGCTGGCACTCTGGAGGACGACTGAGTTTATGTGGAAATATTTGATGATGTTTATATGGTGGCTGTTATGTATGTAAAATGGCTAGATTCAGAATTTGAATCTAAATGCGGATATCTGGTAGTAAGATTCAGATTCTGAATCTTGGAGAATCTTAGATTCAAAATTTGAATCTAACTACCAGAATCTGTGAATTAGATTCAAATTCTGAATCTACTATATTTCTTACTTTGGCAGTATGGTGACATACAAAACTTCTGTCTGTGGCTTCCTACAGTGGTTCGAGCACTCTGGGCTGCTCCGAAGAGCAAAGATTCTGGCAACAACTGTGGTCACGTACCTACCTGGGCTGACAAAAGGGACGGTGTGGTATGGCCAATTGGCTCCCTACAATGGTGGTGCAAACAGTCTGGCATGGCCACATGGCTCCCTACAATGGCTTGGCTTGCTGCTACGAAGCTTGGGTGTTCTTGCAGAAAGTTGGCTGTTTCAGGAGTTGGATTTGGTGGCTTTTGCTTCAGGGCCTGGCATAGGAATGGCGCTTGGAGCTCTCGGGTTTCGCAGGTTTCGGCTTTGGGGTTCATGGGTACATCGTTCTGGGTTTATATGGGGTCTGGGGTTTGGGGTCTACTGAAGTGAACCGGCACTATGGATCTCCACTTCTATTTCAGACCCTAAACCATGAAGCTTATAGACCCCTATCGGAATGGATGCTGGTCTCAAGCTTGGTGCCCCTGTTGCTGCTGCTGTGGCCGTGGCCAGCTGTCCTTCTTGGTCTTCCAGTGTGCAGCTGCTGCTTGCTCTGGTTGTGACTGCTCATGCTGCTGTTCTTCTTCTGCCTGTTTCTGTTGGTGCTGAGTATATGATACATGGCTTACAAAGATATCTTCATTACAATCAGAATCTAATATACAAACAAGTTACTCCAGACAAATCATTTCTATATATGTCTCTATATCTGTACAAAACATGTATGTGTCCTTCCATGGATGTTCACCCAAATGGTCTTCTGAACATATAGAAAAAAGCATACATCTGTGCAGATATAAATATATAACCGACAAAAAAAATAACACATGTGATGGCCTTTGTGGCTTGGCATGTGACAACCTGCTGCTGGTATGGCCATGGAAGGCTTCTGGAGTTCAAGCACCCTTTTTTTGGCACGGCTTGGAGATGCTGCTGCTGGCCTGCATGGTGCAGGCTGGGTCCTTCAAAAAAACCAATGGCCTCCATACCTTTGCAGCCATGGCCGACCTGGGCCGTCTGGAGAGAGGCCCTGGTGGCATGGAAGAAAGTGGCCCATGGTGCCTGGTTGCTGGTGGTGGGTGGCCCCTCACCACCTGTAGACGAGGCCTGCTCCTCCCGCCAAGCTGGTGATCCATGGGGAATCACACTGGGTGCACTTGGCATTGTGATAGAGCTTCCAAAGAAAGATAGTGGAGCGGTGGCATACCACACACCGCAGCATTACGTGCGGCCCGATGGGCTCCTCTGGTGGAAGCATGGCACTGCTTGGGAGGGCCGTCACTGTCCCCTGTGGTGGAGGCTGGACGGGCTTGGAAGAGACGGCCGTGGAGTCCGTGGAGTCGTGCTTTGCTGCCGGCTTCTTGGCCCTGGGCTTGCTCCTGGTCGTGGCCTCCTTGGCAGCCGCTGGCTTTTTGACTCCTTTGACCATGGCGGCACTGGAGTGGAGGCTTTGGCTAGCTGTGGGCAGCTCGCTATATGGCCAAAAGAGGCTGCAGCGGAACGAAAAAGAGAGACGAACATGTGTGCCATGGCATGCCTGGCCACTTGGCTTTCAAACAACAAACTCAATGGCCTGGCATGGCCACAACGGCTCAGGCAATCGAAACTGGAGGCGTTTTTTTTGGCCGCTGGTGCACAGCTGCTGTGCTTGGGTTTCCGGCAGCCTTCGTGGTCTTCTTGGTCTTCTTGGTCTTGATGGCACCCTCAGCAATGCTGCCGTGGAGATACCTGGTGGCTTGGCAGCTGCTGTTGCTGCGAATGGTCTGTGTTTTGGCAAAAGCTGTGCTCCTGCAGCATGGACCTGCCTTGCATGGCTCTGCACACAGTCTGGTATGGCCATTTGGCTCCCTAGAATGGAAGTGCAAACAGTCTGGCATGGCCACTTGGCTCCCTGCAAAGGCTTGGCTTCACCCTACGAAGCTTGGGGGTTCTAGAAGAAAGTTGGCGGTTGGAGGACTTGGATGGTGTTGGCTTTGCTTCAGGGCCTGGCTTAGAAATGGCGCTTCGAGCTCTCGGGTTTGGGAGGTTATGCTTTGGGATGTAAGGGTATATTCTTGTGGGTTTAGGGTCCAGGGTTTAGAGTCTCTTAAGGTCAAACTGCACTATGCATTTCCACTTCTATTTCCGACCCTAAACCCAAAATGCTGAGACGTGACGGCATGGCATGGTCCTATGTACACTTGGCTTTCGCACAACACAGCAACTTGCCTGGCACGGCCACAGTGGCTACATGTCCCTCGTATATAGAAACAGGACAAAGCTCTGGATTTTCTGCTCTGGGCCTGCAACTCTGGCTGCTGTGCAGCGAGTTCATGTGGCCTGCATTGACCTCACATATGCGGTCCGTCTTGAAGAGCCTGGGCCTGTGATGGCCATGTTTGGCTTTAGCAATCACGACAAATCCCTGGCATGGCCATGCAGGCTGGGATGTGCATGCACTCGTCGAACTTGGCATGAAGTATAACAAAGCAAGCATGACATGGCCCCTGAAGGCTCACTTGCTCCAGGAGAGTCCTGCTACATGTACTTTTCCTCGCAAACAAGCAGAGTGCATGGAAGTCTGCATCAACTGGTGCGGTACCTTCTATGGAAATCCTTGGGCAGAGCACATTGGCCCCCCCATGGCTCGTAGTTGGGGTCCGCCCACATCATCTGCCACTCCTCCCAGCCACGGCCGTACTCCCAGGGTTCTAGAGGCGGAAGATCTGGCTTCTCGGTCTTGGAGTTGGCTGCTGGCTTCTTCTGGGCTTTCGCCTTGCACACAGGTGCTGACTTCTTCTTGGCCTTCGCCTTCCTGCTCTGGGCAGCTGCCTTGTGGACCACCTTCATGGCTTTCATGGGGGCAGCAGGCTTCTTGAAGACCATGGCTTTGGGCATGGTGCAGGCGGAGGAAGCTCTTGGGAAGAAGTGGCTGGATCAAGCAGACAATTACAGACATGGTATAGCCATGGTGGCAGGCTAGAAAGCAGAATCGGTGCTGGGACAGCCACAGGAGGCTTGCTCAAGTCACCTGGATCCAAGAAGGTGCTTGTTTTTGCCGCAACAGCCTGGTCCCTGCAGCTCTGCAAAACTTGGAACCCTCAAAACTCCTGCAGCTCTGCATGGTGCAAGGATGGATCCCATGTGCATGGCCCATAGAGGCTGGGTCAGCCCTTCCTGGGCTTTTTCTTGGCTGAAGCCGACGTGGCTGCTTCCTCCTCGACCTTCTGCAAGATTTGCTCATTGGCTTGGATCTTCGCAGGGTTATGGAGGATGGGCACGGTGCATGGCCCCTGCTTGATCGTAGTCAAGACCATGTTGCCCTCATCCTCGCCCTCTGCTGTCCTGCACCAGAAAAATGGCACGATGGTGCCCTCTGCCTGGAACTGGAGGTCCTGCTTCCAGCTTCCAATGGCCCAGTCATGGCCGAAGGCCTGAATGGCCAGCTTGGGCGGCTTCTGGCCTGTCTTCACTTTGCTGATGGAACCCAATGGAACCAGCTTGAGCTTTTTGCTGGCAATGGCTTTCTTGGCATACAGTGCCTGGGGACTGGAAGCCATGCAAAGGAGTTCCAAGTCCTCGACCGACTGCTCCTGGTAGCATTGGTGGAGTGCCGTGACCACAGCTGCCTTTTGGAAGTCCTCCTGGGCCATGGCATGGCTGGATGGGAGTCCCCTGGTTATGATGTCGGCTGGGCCGATGGCTGGCATGGAGTGGCGGGAGACCCGCCACTTCCCCAGCCCCGCCAGCGGCACATGGACTGTCTCCGGTGCCTGGAGCACTGGCCTGTGCTCCAGGGTCCCACCCTCGTTGTTGATTTGCAGGAGCTGGTAGACCTTGGCTCCGTGCTCCTTTGGCAAGGTGTACCTTGGTTTGTGTATGGAATGTATCTACAGCAGAATCTTATGAGGGAACAGACATTAAAACAGCAAAACTCCTATGTGCAATCATGGGCACTGGTCGCCCACCTTGATGTGGGTGTTCTGGAGCAAGGTGGCTTCCCATGGCTGGGCAGAGACTGCATCCTTGATGGTCTTTGCCTCTGCAGCTGGGGTGGCCTGCTTGACCTTGGAAACGTCCTGGGTGAAAAGGTCGAGAATCTGGGCCAGGGACTCCAGCTTCTGCTGGGCATCAGGGCCAAGCTTTTCCTTTTTGGTCAGAAACAAGATGGCTCTGACGCAAAACTTGCCGAAACACTTGTAGAGATGGTTGCTGCCGGCATTGGTGCTGGTGCCTTCTGGAAGCTGGCTCTGGACCAGTTTCCAGGAATCCGAAAGCATGGACTCCGCCGTCCTGACGGACTCCATGTTCTGTGGCGACGACAGTCTCTGGACGTCGGCTCTGGTGAGGAGTCGTGCGAAGCCGTCTTGCTGTTTGGTGGATGTGCACTGGGTTGCCCATAGAGCTGTGCGGAGCAATGGGTAAAGGTTGCCAGGGTCTGGGAAGGTGGTGTGCGACAACGCCTCCATGAAATCCTGGCCCATCATGCACGTGGTGCCGTAGGTGGAGGAGAAGTGGGAAAGGAATTTCAGCAATGGAAAGCTTGTGCCTCCAGAGTATCTCGAGACATAATGCCCTATGGCTGGGAGGCTCTGCCTGCAGGCAACTTCGCCGCTGGCAACGGACTGGATTGCCGACTCCAGACTGGCTCCCATTTGCACTTGAATGGCTATTTGGCAGGCTGCTTCCAACTCGCTGGTGGCTCTGCCAATGGCATTGCCAGAGTTGGCTCCGACTTGGAAGAACTGTGGAAGGCTTGGCATGGCTTCTTCCACACTGGAGGCCACCACATGCCACCGCCACCCGGTCTGGATGGCGGACCAGACTGGGTCTGTCTTGGGCACGGAGATGGCTTTGCCACTGGGATCCGTGGTCCCATGCTCCAGGCATCTCAAGAATGCCGTGGTGTGGCTGCTGGCAAGGGATAGGTATCCTCAGTGGCCAATGTATGTCTACAATATACATTTATCCGCAAATTGTAAATGGATTGGATATATAGAGAAAAGGAAACCAATTCTATGTGTCATCTGAGTGGCCCTCTGCTCCACTGACTGGGGCCAGGGAGCCCTTGCTCTCCTGGACCAGCTGCTGGTTCCTCCAAACCTGCTGCTGGCGCTTTTGGGGGTCCGTGGACATCTGGAGACAAATGGACAGCAGATGCACTTGCAGGCCAACTGCCAAGAGTTGGTGTCCCTTGGCCCAAACGTCAAAGTGGGACACCATCTGCCCTCCCCGGTTGGAGGGGTGGCAAAGAACTTGGCTTGGAACCAAGGTCTGCTGCTGGCAGAGGCCATGGTGCTCCAGCACCTGCAAGACCTTGGTGACTCTGGTGTTCACTGGCTCGCGGCCATTCACAATGGCCTCCACCTCTTGGACCACAGCTGGAGGGACAGCCATGGCTTCTGGCTTCTGTGCGGCTGTGGCCTTGTCTGGTATATCCTATCTGGAATTCAAGTGTGGCTGTGCCGGGCAACTTCTTTCTGCTCGTCTGGAACTGCTGGATTCTAACCACCTGCATATATATCTGTCGGGTTCAACAGTGGCATGGTTCTGCGACCATGGATATGCATGGATGGCCTATACTGGCTGCAGGCAGACGATAAAGCAAACAAAACTGTATGCATCCCTTCAACACTTGACACTTGCAAAACTGTTCTGCAGCAAGCCTTTTCCTGCGAAGGCCTGGCAGAGTCTGGAAGAGTCACTCCTGGACTGGTCGTGGCTACTACCTGGCTTTCTTCTTGTAGCTTCTTTTGGCCTGGCCGAGGACTTGGGCCGTATCCTCATCATTGCGAATGGTCTTGATGATGGTCTCGATCTGGTGCTGTTCGAGTTGGATGGTGAGATCGCACCTCCTTGGCCTCTTGCCACTCATCAAGCAGGTGACTTTGGAACCATTGATGTCCATGGCAACTTCTTCTTCTTGGTTGTCTGGAAGAGACCTCTTTCTGGTCGACTTCTTTCCTGAGCCTGGCTCTGGAGCATCGAAAAGTTGCTCTGCTGGTGTTGCTGGTTGGTCGAAGCTCTGGTTCCTCTTCTTGATGAGATTGGCCATGGCCGTAGAACCCGACAGACTGGCATTCTTGTCGGGTCTCTGGCCTGTGAGCAACTCAATTATGGGTTCGGAAGTGGGCCGAAGTTGGAGCCACTGTTTGTCCTTGGACAGCTTCACCAGATCCTTGGGGATGAGGATTGGCCTCTCCGACTCGTACTTTATCTGGATGGCCGCACGAATTTCCACCATGCTTGGAAGCTATGGTGGACGTGGAAAGCTGTAGCTGGCACTCGCTATGGCCGGGTGGCTGCAGCAAACATACCATGCAATACAAAGACATGAGCACACTGCTATGGCCGTCTGGCTCCCATGATCACACACATGCAATGCCAAATACAAAAAATCGAACAACAACTCTGATAAATTATTTGCTAAAAGCAAACAACATATATCTCTGGCAGTCCATACTATAATCTTCAAAATCAATGATAACATTCAGCAAAAACTTCGATTCCATTCTAAAACCCATGATTTCTTATCTTATACCTGCAGTGCACTCGACGAATTATGCACCACAAATCAGAATACATGTCATTGAAATATTACATCTCCATGTATGAATTTCGTATTCTTAAAGCCTATATTTCAACATCCATAACTCCATGTAACTCACCCTAACTTTTATAAAAGGTTAAGTTAATTATGTTACTTAGCTAACAAAATATTAACTTTAGTAACATAACATAAAAGATATAAGTATTATAGGAACATGTAATCACTTAATAGACGGTTAACACTCACTTATAACAGTTTAATAACTAGGGTACAACTCCACATAACTATGTTAACCACTTATAAAACAACCAGGATTCCAAGTAGGGCTTTAGAGTCAGGACTTTCGTTCTACTCTACTTTCAATCAGTCTTCAGCAAGAAACAACCTAGTCACAGGGGTGCACAAGTTCCTCGGGATGATGCTTCTGGCTTTGACTGGAGCTGTCAACGTACCATCTGACCCGAAAAGCAAAACACAATTAATACCGAAACCCCAAACCGAAAGCGCTGGAACCCCGAACCCTGCAACATGTAGCGGCGAGTCTCGTCCAGCTGGCAGCATCATCACGGGCCTTGATCAGGCTTCCCAGTCCCAAACCCGAGACACTAAGGTCTTCATCATTGGAATACCCTGAGACTCCAAGTATACAAACAGTACCTATACAGTATAGTTTTTCCTCTAGAGTCTATAAATGGTACCTACTTTGGGCCAATTGGAGTCACTGGAATCAGGTTCATGGGTGAGAAAACGATATTATAAGTATATCGAAACCCTAAGGGGGATACTACGTGTAGCTACTCCGACCTCAATGGAAAGCCCAAATGGAGCCCAAAATCGAATGGGTGGGGCGATGTGCAGGATGTAATGTAGACGTTCGGCTATCGGGATTAGGGCCGACAAAGCTTCAGAATTTCTTGGTTCAGGGCTGTGTATGTACGACGTCAGTCTTAGAGTCTTAGAGTATCTATAGAGCCTCACCGACCCGAATTCCGAATGTTGGCGCATTCCACAACCGCGCGCTAGAGTGACACGACTGAGCGTTTAGGGTTTAAACCTCGGGCACTGAATCCCGAGCGCCAAAAAACAAGTACTTTGCTGGTAGATTGCCAACTGGGCTCTGGTTATGGAGCTTGCTTCACTGAAACTACCAGCCCAAGTAAGTAGAACAGGAAGGATACATAGTAAGAAGAAAGCGGCCTTACCTTGACTTTTGGTAACCTGTTAAAGTTCATCAGCAAGAGTCAAGAGCCAAATCCAGGCCGCACCTTCGTCAACAGGGAAGCAAAGTTCACAGCATTCTGCCGCCAGCTCGAACGAAGCGCCTCAAATGCTGCATTTAGCCCGAACGTTTTGGGTGCAACGTTTAATGTGATTTAGCCAACATAATTCGACGCCTCTGCTATTAAGGGGTTCATGCAGCTACATTAGCCGAAAGCCCTCTTTTCATCCTCATAGCAAGCACCAAGTCCTAAATTCAAAACCCTGAATCCCAAATCAATCCAGTAAATCCTGAACCCGAGGCTCGAAACTCTATAAGTAAAAATGCAAAACAACTTCCAGGATCGTCCCAGGAACCAGGAGCCAGCTTCCCAGCAGCAAATGCCGCAGCAGGCGCTTGGGAGCAGATACCATGCGCCCTAGAAACCGTTTGGTCTAGAGGGTTCAGAGTTCAGGGTCTAGGTTGGTTTGGCGTAAACCCGACACACCCTAAAACTCAAATCCTGAAACACCACTAGGCCACTAGGCCCTACGGCCGGCATAGACTCTGGTAATGCCCCCACCAAAGCTCCGGGACCATGCGCCGAAACTTGAAAGCCGTCTTTCGGGGCTCCAACGTTTCGGGTTCAGGGTGGGGCTTGGGGTTTAGGGTTTGGGGTATTCATGGTTTCTGAGCGTAGACAGCCGGTTGCCTCATGCAGATGAAGGCATGTATGATGTCGGTCCGGTAAGAGTCCTCGGCAGGAGTGCTTGGGCCATCTGCTGCGGAGGGATATCAGTCCAAGCCAGGCAGACTGAAGGTCCGGGTAATTCGTTGCAGCTTTCCACCTACGACGCAGCCTTCCGTGAACACGGGATAGGTGCGTGGACATCATGACAACGACATAATCGCAAGGCCTATACAAATCCTGAAACCAAAACACACAAGCATTAGCCTGAAGCAGCTGGGGACTGTGCCGGACACTCCGGCGCTCACTCGAGAAATGAGTGATCTGCCTTGTGACGAACAAAACCGAAGTCAGAACATGTCACTGCGCTTAGCGGCGGGGCACTTCTTCCATGATTGCTGCAGAGGATTGTTTCTTGCTGTGATAGGTGGAAAGTCTCCTTCTTCCATACGAGCACCACGCAGGCCAGACTGCTTTGATGCATTGTACTCAGAAACCGTATGGGGCAAAGAAGACAGTTTATGATTATTACGTCACATACTTGGACCTCAGGGAAAGATTTTGCAGCTGTAATGCCAGGCACTCTCTGGAAACTGTTGGAAGCTTTCAGGCATGTCTGGAAACCATAGTCGTAGGAAAGATTTCGACTGTGGGCTTCGGCTTCTGTGCGCTCAAGTCTTACGGTGTCTTGTCTCGGCTGCCGGTTTGCAAAGTCATCCGAGAGCCCCCAAGGCCCCAAATGCATCTTATATGTCCCTCTGCTCCATATGGGAGTTTCCGAAAATAGGGGTGCCTTACTTTGGGGGTCCGAATAAAAAGGATCCTACAGTACAGGGCACTATATTTGGGTCCCCTATTTTCGGAAACTCCCATGTTGCGAAGCTCGTGAACCCAAGACCGGCAAGAGACTCCTGGTTATCTCCCGTGTATGAAGTGACCCTGCAGACTCAAGAGCCTATGGGAGCTTGCACGGTATTGGTCTGATCATCATAGTTCTGAACCCAGTTTCAGTCCGTATACAGTGGCTTTCAAGACAACACATCTGCTATCTGTTAAGGCCCCGAACACCCATTCTTCTGAAACGGTTCGAAAAGGTTTCCCTGTCGCAGCACCACTCATGCACATCAAACTCCTGCTCAGGGCATGACAGGTTTCTGATTTCGGCTTAAGGGTCTAAGGAAACACGCACACACCCCAGCAAGAGACTCTAAGCGATGCCCGCCTGCAACACTGCTGAGGTTTCGCAACCTGGCTTCCGTTCTGTCGGGGTAACTGATCGGAGCACAGGCACTCAACACATTGGCGTGAGTGCGGAGTTTTTAGAGTCAGGACGTTGCAAGGGCTTGTCATGGTAGTGGTTGTAGCTCAACGTCTTTAAAGTCTTCAAGGGCGGCGGTCTAGGGTCGGAGCTTGTGGTTCGGGAATGCGGGACGCTGAAGGCTTATTCGCGAGACTTTCGTGCGATGGCTCTGCTGGTCATAGCTGTCCAGAGGCCGGGGGAACTACGGGCTAACCCGTTATCACTCCTCCATCCTAAACTGAGGCACATCATGAGGATCCATACGCCTATAAGGCCCGAAGGGTCTATGTACTAATATGGTATACACTTGGACTTTGTTTACAGTGGCCCATACATAGATAGCTCAGGGCAAGCTTTTCAGTACAAAAATATGTGGTACATGGGCCCGTGGGGTATGCTTATGCACTCTTTTTCCAAGGCCTAAACCCTAAACCCTAGGCTCCTAAACCCCCCAAAACCCCTAAATCCAAAACTCCCAAACCCTAAACCCTTAAACCCTAAACCCCTTTGACTAGAGATCGCTTTACAGGATCCCTTACAGTCCCTTTAAAGGATCCCTTTAAAGGAGCCCTTTAAAGGATCACTTTCAAGGTAACCTTGTAGTCCCTTTAGAGGTATCCGGGTTCGCCTTCCCGGCCGTAGCCGCGCGAGGGCGCGCATG